ATTCAACTTTGGGTGCACTTCATCAATGATACCATGCGTAATCTTATGGAATTTACTGGTGATCGTATTATGACGTGCAACTGAAGTTTTATTAATTTCCTTTCCTATAGATACAACTAGGTACCTAATATTTTTAAAAAATCCCGAGAAAAATTAATTTTAATAAGTAAGTGCCGACATATTTCCAGTATTTTCACCTCATGATCCCCTATTAATCCTAAAATTTAACTAAAAAACGTAAATCTCGTAATAGTACTTTTTATTGTTAGATCTAGTACTTATAGAGACATTAGACATTTATAAAAATCACGAGAAAATTCATTGCGGAACTGCCAAACCGAGGTGGCAACGCTGATTCAGACTGAAAGAGTTACCGAGTTCGTACCAAGGAATTCTAAGGAAGACCTTGAATGATTGACCTTGACCTTGAAGACCAAGGAATTCCAAGGAATTCCGAAGGAACTACGAGAAATTAGGATAGGATTATTTGAGTAAAAGGAATTACGGTGTACACTTTTCCCTCTGCGGTTTACCCCTCGATAAAAAATAAATTAGCCACTCCGTACGAATATCAATATTCTTAGGAAATCTAACCAGAAAGTATGCATGTGGTTTAATATACATAAAAGAACAACTGAATACTTTACTTGCCTGTGAAAAGATAATTCGGGGACATTTATATTATATTTCAACACACCAAACACTTTCTTGTCATTTTTACGAGTATTTACCCAAAAATTAAAACCCAACGAGTAAAAAATAGAAATATAATTGCACAAACTTAAAATTAACTTCTCACTGAACACACTTGCATCCTTGGCTATATAAAAGCGGTCGATAGAAGAGTAATTAATACAATGTTTAAAATAAAAAACGCAAAAAACAAGCGTCGTTACACAATGGAAATAACATTATGACATATGATTATGACAATACGATGACAATGAAAAGTTGGTTTCCATAACAATGTATAATTTGTACTTTCTAAACCGGATAAATTGTAATTATTTTGGAAATACGTGCCACTTTTAATGCGCATGCGTAAAGTCAGGTCCTCGAGAAAGACAAACCTATTGAACGTTCATAAGTGCAATAAAGAAGGTTTGAAAATGGCATGTCGTGATGTTGGGGATATATTTTTTAATGCTAAACTTATGGCGTTAATTTATCCACGTAAGTATATATATGATCTAGAGTCGAGGCAAACCGAAGTGGGTCAAGACAACTGGAAATAAATCGAAATGCGACCTTGACATGTTTCGAATTGCTTCTCGCATAGTGTGTACGCTGTTTTACACTCGGTTGATTTCGACTCGCTTGGCTAGTTTGCCACGCATACTCGGTGCCAACTGAGCCTCTGTATAAATTTGTTTAGTTTTTTATTTGTAGATATTAGTTTAGTTTTAATCATCTGCTGATCATAGTTAACGAAACGCGCGTCCCGTGTAAAAGTAAAATGTTTTGATGTATTGTAGTGCGTTAGTGTTTTATTTTGACGTATTACGTTTATTACCTAATTTTTATTATTACTTACTATGCTCTAGCTTTTAATTATTTACAGACAAGCGTCAGTTCTCTCTGCCTTTTTTACTCGTTTTCGAAAAAAAAAACAAATCCATCCGTTCATTTCCAGTTAAAATTCTGACCTGTTGTGTAGGGCCCTATCTATCTCTCTCGGCAAAAAGTAGGTGTTTGCTGAAAAAGCACATTGCGAAGCTGCACGCTAGACTGATTGCGGATGTTCAGCCAACGAAATTTGCACGATTCACTGGCTCCATATGCAAAATCATCGATTTTAACTCGGAAACCTCTTTTAAATCGGAGTAGTTCCTATTATTGCCTTTGCTGTAAGTCAACTATTATGCGATGGTAAGAATGAAAAACTGAAATTGTGTTCGGTAGGATTTTCTATTTTTACCCTCCCTAATAAATTGTAGTATTTTAAATGTAAAATACGAGAACTCTCTAGCGTCGTTGGAATTTTTCTTTTAAAATTTAAATTTTATTCTCATTTTAGGGACTGTTTTTTAATATAACAGGTAACAGTTTTTTCATATCTCTGGTATATTAAAGGTTGTTTTGGAATCAAATTTAGATAAAAATTTGAATAAAATATTAAGTTAAGAGAAAATTAAAAGACATGAAAATATAGTTGAATCACAAAACATCCCCCTTTAGAACTTCGTCTATCATGTTAAGGAATGAAAGTAAATAATAAAGCGCCTCTCGTGTTTGTTCGCACTCAAAAAATTTCAATTAATGGCTGTATATATTTTTAATATATTTTTTAGATTTACATTTTTTTAATTGTAAAGTAATATATTACATTTAAATGGAATATATTACATAACAGTTATGTCAATTACAGGATTACAAGCTTGTTAACAAACAACATTTTTTAAATAAAACGAATTATAAAATTTCAATCTATGTATATTTGTCGTAGGTATGAAAAAAGTAAAATATAAAATGGACAAATGCTTACTTACATTGCAATAAAACTTCCACTTTTAGTTTTGCAATTCAAACGCAATATTTCTATTTCACAAATAAAATTATACTACAACACTGAAATCACTGAAACTTCCGCGGCTGACAACGAAAACTGAAAAATATAACAGCACTTTTTGTTTTGGACCTGCATATCAACATTACGCTGTACTATTATGTGTTTGTTGTTGAAATAATATAAAATATATAATTATAACTTGTAAATGTTAATATTTTAACACGATTTTAACTACTTTTGACAATAACTAACTTTTTGTTATCAAGTTGACATTTTAGACGGTAACTGACATATATGTCATAATATTTGAATCTTAAATATGTATGTAATATAATTTAAATTACTATAATGCGACTTTATGCTAAGAAAACATTTATACATTCACAAAATACAACAAAGTCTAATAATATAGTTTGAAAACAATGAATATTGAATTAAAATTGAAAAAGTTAAGCGCGACCCCTTGTGTCAAAATTAGATGATTAAATTTTCGCAATTTTTACACCATTTGATGACCGGTGGCGCCTCTAGTGTTTGTTCGGGCGGTTGGTCTTTTACTCCCGTTTATGGCCATTAAAGAAAAAGTTCTAAAGGGGGATGTTTTGTGAGTTGAATTTAAGTCCTATAAATCAAAATGCGTTTTCATGGTAATATAATTTGGTTTTCATTGTTTGATAGACTTAATATAGTGTCTATATAGCATGCCGGATGTATGTTATACTTACCCAAAGGGTCCACTTAATTCGAAGAAATGAAATATGACCATTTTTCACGCAACAAGCAGATGATCCCTTAGCTCTTAATTTTTATAGTTATAGGTGTCTAACCTACTATTGTGTATTATACAGTAAATATAAAATTGATGTAGATTAAAGAACAATGCAAACAAATATAGTTTTTAATCTATGGAAATTCGTTTTCTATTCAGTAAGAAAAATTAAAAGAAAATGAAATAAAATTAAAAAAAAATAAATAAATAAATATAATAAATATATATTCTTCTTTTTCACCTTTACTTGACTGTTAAGGAAACATACTTACTGTATATTAACTGAAAAAAGGATGATTCTAGGACATTTTATATTATTTGAACACTTATATTTTATTAGACCAGTTCAGAATGAAGTTAAACTTTACGAGAGCCCTAATAATATTTTTGAACCATCAAATATCTTTTAGAGGTCATATTTTCTTTTTATCCTAACGAAAATACCGAAAATATCTTCATACTTTGTATAAATTGCATTCTTTTTCCGTTGTTTGGAAATCATAATCGAATGAATATATTTTTATTGCTGTGTTTTGATTGTTCGGTAATTTTGATTGTATTCCTAAAAAAGTTTGTGAAATGGAAAGTATGTTTATAAATTGAGTCATTAATTTTATTTGTGAATTTCGCATTACTTAGTTTGTTTATCCAAACAATTGGAATTATTTGGTTTTTCATTGTTTCGCAGTGGGCAAGGAAGCGTTTGCCGACTCATTAGCCTATTCCGTTTGTTTAACTGATTTGCTGTGATTCAAATTAAAATTTTGGATATGAAATTATTATCATAACATAAAGCACTCGTGCTACGCACTCGTTGTGTAACTGTCACACGCGTAACTTGTATCGTAAATATCTATTAAAATAACGAATTCTAACTGTAATGAGAGCATCTTCCTTATCTCTTTTTTACAGATACCTCAGTTTAATGGCTTCTTACACGCCACCCGTCTCAAAGATATAAACATTATTATATACTACGGAATGTTGATGATAACGTCTACCGGGGTATCATGCATATAATATCACCCGTTTTATTATTATGAAAGCGACTTTTTAAGAGGGCTATAAAACGGTATTTTGTTTAATATCTTAATTTTATTAAACAGCGTTGCTTAAAATTTCATGATGCTCGAAAGTTGTATATGAATATTAAAGACACCTCGCGAGAGTTTTGTTAGGGTAAAAGTAGTTCAAATACCGTGTTACCTCAAGATTATAATCCATAGGGAAATTATAGTCTTCGCTCAAAACGATGTTTAAGGAGAATACCTATTTCGGTCCATTTTAGAAAATTTGCTTTTAAAGGTAAATAATAAAATAAGATGAAAATGGAGATAAGCATGTTAAAAGTTAAGGTGAAATGTTTACATCTATTTTATTTTGATCACAAATCATATAATAAGTTTTAAAATATAAATTTTGCTGCAAATAAAGTCTGTCTAACCAATCAGGGAAGATTTTGACACACAACATTAAAAAAATGACAGAAAAGAACTTTCACTGTCAGATACTCTTTCGTTGTACAACCAAGGACAGACTATATCTCTGTAACACGTTTATTGCTGCAAACATCTAGCAGTATAACCATAACTTCTATAGTTTTTGTTATTTCTACTTTTGGTACACTGCTTTCTAGACTTTTTATTTTTACTGTTAATTATTAAATTATTTTCTTAATTGTATCTTTTTTGTACTCCCCAATTTTTGATTTGATTTTTCCAGCTGCTTTGGAAGATGATAGAAGTGACGGAGATTCCTTACACAGTGACAGTGAAGATGACGGATCATCTCAACTGGTATCTAAAAATAAACCAATCCCAACACAAAAGCGCCAGAAGAAAAAAACGGCATCTAGTAACAAGAATCGCGCAGCTAAAAGAAAAGTTAATGCTCCAGTTTCAAAGAAGCGCATTGCTGAATTGTTGATCAAAATTACTGATTCAGGTAAAGAACAAAAACGAAAAAACCATTTGATTGCATTATGATTAGGTATTATACCGGGTGGCCCATTAGTGTGAGGAAGTCCAATATCATTATTGTTGGCAAAGATATGAAAAAAAGTTTAATATAATTTTTGCACGGTTTATAAAGGTGCATTATATATTTTCTACAGGGTGGTCTGAACTGTATTCCGGAAACTTCGGCAGCATATTCTGCAGATAAATTAAGTTAAAAAGTTCATATAAATGTATGTCCTAAAATGTCTAGTTTCGGAGATACAGGGTGTAGAAGTTTCATTTTTATTTCGATTTTTTCGAAATAATTTCTGAAGTAACATCAATATTTGGATGAAAATTGGTGTCTGGGAGTTTTTTGACATGAGAAATGTGTTGTGTTGTCAATATGACTCCTATTAGTAGAGGGCGCCACCTACATATTTTTAACTGGTTTGAAGAGTAATAACTTTTCGTCCGTACCTGTATAAAGCTAATGAGTAAAAAAATATGCATTTACGACGTTTTTTACGTGAAAAAGGCTTCTTGGTAAAAATCGCTACGAGTAATGGTTTTCGAGATATTTGGAATCGAAATTATCAATACCTGTCATCATTGACATAAATTAAACATGTTGACTAAATAGTTATTAGACTGAAATCATAAATTTGATATGTTTTTGTACCAAAAGTTCAACAGAAATTGTTTTACCATTATTTTTTACAGAAAAAATTATGATTAATTTAAAAAAAATAAAAATTTCCCAAATTTACTATTTCACTGAAATAACTATCTACTCAACGTGTCTATTTTTCGTCAATAATGACATGTATTGACTATTTCCATTCTAAATATCTTAAGAACGGTTGCTCGTAGCAATTTTTATAAAAGAGATATTTTTTACGTAAAAAATCAGAGATAATATATAGATATATATTTTTTCGCTTGGTAGTTTTATACAGCTACGGACAAAAAGTTATTACGCTTCAAAACAGTTGAAACACATGTAGGTTGCGCCATCTACTAGTAGGAGTCATATTGACATCAAAATCTAATTTCTCATGTCAAAAAACTCCCAGACGCCAATTTTCATCCAAATATTGACGTTACTTCAGAAATTATTTGGAAAAAATCGAAATAAAATTGAAACTTTTACACCCTGTATCTCTGAAACTAAGCATTTTAGGACATACATTTATACGAACTTTTTTACTTATTTTTATCTGGATAATATGCTGCCGAAGTTTCCAGAATACAGTTCGGACCATCCTTTATAAGTTATTTCCATTCCCTAGTAATGAATAATAATATTATGAGTAGCTAACATATTCAAATTACCTGGGCCCGTATTCTGTAACTTTGAAAACGCTAAGCGCTTTTAGACGCTCAGCGTATACGACGTTAATTTTCGCTGAGCGCGCACTTAATTAACGATTTCGGTATTCTCATCTGACTCATCTGACGCGCTTAGCGTTTTTACTGATTGCGCTGAGCGCTTTGAAAAGGTCGCCTTAAATGATCGTTTTGCTTGTCGAACTGTCAGTGAAAATCGAAAAAATTGTGATTTTGTGCGTTATCTTGCTCTTTAGTCAAAATTACTACTTCTTCTATAAATTCCTCAATAAGTAATTGATAATTTAAGACTTGGCAGCTATAAATATTGTTCAAAACATCGAAAATGCTGAGAAGCGTCTTCAACACTTCCCTCGTATAATAAGAATAATGACATATCTATAGAAAAATAGCTTGACATAACTCAACAATAGGTTATGAAATTCACGTAACATTGACATTTTTCATTGTTACATCCGTCAGTTATCAACTTTTGACTGTTACCTACATTAGAAATTGTGATGTTGCCAATATGTGCTCAACGCGTATCCAGAACACGATTCGCATGGCAACGAGAATACCAAAATCGACTGCCTTGCGTTTCGCTAATCGAATACTTGCGCTCACCGCTTTGAAAACGTAACGTTCTGATGTCAAAGTTACAGAATACGGGCCCTGAGCTATTTAATTTTACTTAAATGCATATTATCAGTATAAATGTTTTTAATCGTGTTTCATACTGTAGTATATTGTAATAATACTTTTGATCCCGAACATATTCCAAAAGTTTCTCAAACCCCCAAAGATTTAAACTGGTATTTGTTTGAATTTGAAACTTAGCGCCTAAATAGGCATATTAATATAGCAGCCGAGAAATTTTAATATTAATTAATACTCCTTATAGAAATGCAGGAAGCTCTCGGGTGGTTAAAGGAGAGTTTATCCGATGCCATTGAAGATTACGAGGTCGGGAATAACGAAGGTATTCCATTAGTTCCCGTAATGGATTACGCCGAGGCCGCCATGGAAAATGCAGACATCCAACAAATGCTCAAGGGAATAGGCATTTGTCCACCGTTTGACGAACAGGTACGTGTTATTCTGAAGATTATGTTATTACGCTTTCATCTTTATGAAAATAAATATACAATTTTTATCAAAATATATATTTTTTGTCAGTTATTTTTGAAATATCAACAAATTCTGGATCATTCTAGATTTTCTATTCATTTGATAGTATTTTATATTTTACAATGATGTTTAAGTATAAAAACAGGTCATGTCTTATACAGGGTGGTCCGAATCGTATTCGGGAAACTTTGGCATTATAGTCGGCAGATAAAAATAAGGTTCCTATAAATTTATCAAGATATCTTAAAAGTTCCTATAAATTTATGTCCTAAAATGCTTCGTTTCAGAGATACAGGCGAGGATACAGAGTATAATTTTATTTTTATTTCGTTTTTTCCAAATAATTTCTGAACTATAGTCGATATTTGGATAAAAATTGGTGTCTGGTATTTTTTTGTCATTAGAAATTTGATTTCGATGTGAATATAACTCCTACTTGTAGGAGGCGCCACCTACATGGGTTTTAACCTAAACCTTTGAATAAGAAGACTAAGGAAGGAGCATAATGCTATCCATGTATTCATGCATGGTGGGCGGAAAAGCCACCATAAAAGCTCTCTAGGGTGGGGATCCTTGACAGTTCTGTTTGACGATTTGACACATTTGAATTTGATTTGAAATTTTGTGGATTTGTCAGTCTTTACGGAGCTTATTTTATGTTATTTATTATTTATTCTACTACTGATAGTTGTATAAAGGTAGTAAATCTAGATGGAAATTGTGGCAGAACTTAAATTAACAGTGAAATTATCGCGATTTATCGAAAAAGACTCGAAAATAGTTGGTTGTGTAGCGTGCGGTAGATCTCGGCAAAAATTCAGTGAAATAATGGAACAATTTTTCGCTAGTAAGTGACTATATAATATACATACGTGTAGTAAACCGATCATTTATGAAATTCACTTAAATTATCTAAATAATATATTTTTCTTGCATTTTAGCTTTTATTTATTACTTGTCAAAGATTAGATGTCAAAGAATTTAGATACGTTAATTTGACTTACCTGCTTCAGTAGCGTATCGGATGTTTGTGTTAATAAATACTTATTATAACTTATCTATTTTTATTAGAATTATATATTTTTATAACAATTTTAATAACTACCAACATTTATTCACAACGTAAAATAAAACAACAAATTATTGAGTCTACCCCACGTCTACCCTACATCATAGTTTTACATTTTTTAAATAAAATTAGAACGACACTGATAAACCGGAATTTAAGTCGGCCATATTTGAGGCCCATCGCGGTGTACCTAAGATTTTTGATATGCTCCTTCCATAGTCTTCTTATTCAAAGGTTTTAACTGTTTTGAAGCATAATAACTTTTCATCCGTACCTGTATAAAACCTACTTAGTGAAAAAATACACATTTCCGTCATTTATACGTAAAAAATGTATCTTGGTAAAAATCGCATTGTTATATATGACAAAATAGTATAATTAAATTAATAAATACGAGTACATGTAATTATTGACAAAAAATAAACGTTTGATAGGCATTTAACTGAAATGATAAATTTGGGAACTTTTTATTTTTAAATTAATCAGAAGATTTTTTTTTAAATTATGGAAAAACAGTTTCTGTTGAACTTTTGGCAAATCTTTTAATAAATCAAATTTATTATTTCAGTCTAACAGCGTTTTCAGATGGAGCGGAGCGTCCGCGACTTCGAGCAAGTACCATGAGTCTATATGAACGATTTCACATGGGTCGCGTATGCTCCGTCCGGATGAGCTATATTGAAAAAACATCCGCGCGGACGCTCCGCGCGTATGTTGAAAGCGCTCGATCTGAAAGCGCTGTAATAACTATTTAGACAACATGTTTAATTTAGGTGGATGATGACAGATATTGATAATTTTGAGTTTGGTTTGGTAAAAATCGCTAAGAGTAATGGTTCTCAAGATATATGGAATATCTTGAGAACCATTACTCTTAGCGATTTTTACCAAGAGACCTTTTTTACGCAGAAAATGTCGTAAATGTACATTTTGTCCTCTATGATTTTATACAGATACAGACGAAAAGTTATTACTCCTCAAACCAGTTAAAAGATATGTAGATGGCATTCTCTAAAAGTAGGAATCATATTGACATCAAAATCAAATTTTTTTATGTCAGAAAACTTCCAGACACCAATTTTCATCCGAATATCTACGTTGCCCTTGGTTCAGAAATTATATGGAAAAAATCGAAATAAAAATTAAACTTCTACACCCTGTATGTCCTAAACTAAGCAATTTAGGACATACATTTATACAAACTTTTTTTCTTGTTTTTATCTTTTAGCCGAAGTTTCCAGAATACAATTTGGACCACACTGTATATGTAACCTGAGTCGGCTGTAGTTCAGTAACAATTACAAATATATAGACCACTGATGCCACCTATCAATAAGCGCATGTACTAGCTACGGCGAGAATGAGATATCTTTCTGTATTGATTTTTTAGTTAAATGTTTTTGTACGTCATTGGTAGATGTTGCTACGCGCTTCAAGATATACAGGGTCTTTTCAAAAGTGGGTCACGCCTATAACTTTTTTTGAAATAAAAAGCGAAATTTGGTATGTATATGATACAAATAAGGATTGATTGATCTATTCAATTAGTTTCGGTTACTACCTACTATTTTTTTAAGCTACACACAAAGCTAAAATGACAAGAGATGACATATGAGATCATTTACTGTTGCATAAAGTAAAAAAAAATACCGAGGATACGATTTAAAAATCAAAAGTTGTAGTCATTTCTGGTGAAACAGGAAGTGACCGTAAATAAATGAATACGTCATTCACTCCTGATTTATGTTATATACATACCAACTCTCGTTTTTTGTTTGAACAAATAGCAATAAAAATACCCGGTATATTGGCTATAAAATATGGAATAACGTACGACAATTAACTTTTTAAATCAAAAATCTTTTAATATTATTAATTATATTATTAAAAATTTAATATTATTATTAATTATATTATTAGATAGAACTTTAAAAAAGTAGCTTGTTTATTGTACACAACAAATCATTAATAATTGCAATTTTATTTCTATTTTAACTACCTACTTCTTTACTATTTTCCCAAAAAACTACAATCATTTGTTGTAATTTGTTGATTTGTTAATTTGAATTTTTGTTCCTAATTAAGCAGTTATATAGGATTTCAACATGTTTTTGTCTTTTTTTTCAGGAAAGTTATTGGCGAATACCAAGTCATATTACCCCCGTCCAATTAACAAATTACTGCGAGATGATTCAACAAGCCATAGATAAAACACTAGAAATTGAAGAAGACACTGAAATTTTGCCAGATTCTGAGGCTTTACAACAAGACGAATCATCAGAAGACGAAGATCTTTTTAATAAACTACGAACTATTACTTCAAATAGTACCGAAGAGCAAAACCCCAGGGAGGTACCAACTGAACCCAATGATGTTTTTGATAAGTTAAGAAATACTGACAAGCAGGTTAGTTCTGAAAATGGAGAGCTAGCTAAGAAAAAATCAAGAATTCAGCGTAATATTTTGGATAGTGACGATGAGAGTAATGATAATAATACTCTCCAAAACGTAAACGATGATGAAATGTCAGTGACAGAGGAAAATACTTCAACTAGTTTTCGAAAAGCTCTTGAGAGTGATAGCGAAGAAGACGATATAAATAATGATAAAACATCAACCAAAAGAGACAGATCTGATTCTGATACTCCTCGCTCAAAGAAAAAGTTAAGAATTCAGACTAATATTTCAGACAGCGAAGATGAAAGTAATGATAATGCAAAACTTCAAAGCTTGAATGATGATGAAGTGTCAACAGGAAATGAAACTACTTCTACCAGCTTTAGGAAGGCCCTGACGAGTGATAGCGAAGAAGATGAAGACAGTGAAAAAAGAAGATCTACCAAACGGGACAGGGGCGATTCTGGTTCAGATGGAGAAGATCCAGTTCCAAAGAAAGGCAGAATTATTGAAAGCGATGAAGATTAATCTAGTTTTAAGTTTATATTGTTATTTAAAAAAGTTTTGTTCTGAATAAAGTCGTTTGTGTCTACGTCTTTCTTTTTATCAATTATTGACCTAACAATGAATGTTTATTTCTACAGTATAAAGCAGATTAAAAATTATTATTAAAAATGTCTATATCTATGTGGCGGATTCATCTCTCTAAAAAATCTTATATGGGTATTTCGCCACTGCAAGAAAATCTACAAAATAAAATAGTTATTTTTGTTAACACTTCTGTGTTAATCCAAACGGAAACTACTTGTCAGAAGTTAGGTTTACATTATTCTTAATCTAAGGGTTTACAGATATACAAATTTGCCTAACGAACAAAAAAAAATTCTTAACGTTTCGGAAAGTTTATCTCTTTCCGTCGTCGGAAGCAAAAAAATACAAAGAATAAAGGAAAAAAATGTTTAAAATATTTGAATTCAGCTATTCGAGAACACTTTAGTTTTTTAAAACAAATATGTCTACAAAAACCGTTGACGTTCTGCTAAAATGACATTATATCAAGTTAAACTTCAAAATTAACAATTACTATCTGATAAAAATTACTTAATAAGGTAAAACCAAAAAACCCCAAACTTTTATGTTATGTTTATTTATGTTATATTCTTTAAAATCAAAGAAGCGATTGATTAAAATCGAATTCACATTACTAACATCTACAGATGCATGAGCAATACATTTATTTTTATTAGAATGTATTAAAAAAACCTCTTTTATTTTTCTTTTAGAGGCTATCGATTCTTTCATTATAATTTTAGTGTTATTAAAATTTATTCTGTACCCTGTGTTCCAAGAATGCTGATAAATCTTAGATTGGTGAAAATCTCCCTTTCTTAAATAATCTTTATGTTCTTTAATTCGAACATTTAAGGGTCTAGATGTTTCACCAATGTAAAATTTATCGCATTCACATGGTATTTTGTATATGTATTACATCCCAAGTAGCATTTGGACGTTATCTAACGTCGGGTATACGTCGCGTTCAATAAACCCGACGTCGGGTACCAACGTCGGTTCGACCGCCTGACGATCCTTATTTGCACCTAAATGGGGAATGCAGATTCGGGTCGCCTCGACGTCGATATCTGACCTAATAGGGAATGTAATTCTACCAATTACCAACGTCATATTACGTTGGATTTTAGTTATTTAAAATTCGTCGCTAAGCACTTACGTTACGTTTGGTACAAGAATACATAAAAACCTAACCAAACTACCTAATTACAAATGGATTCATAATCACTCCTCGAATATAACTATGAGTGCCTATCTAATTTCATATTATAATAATTCTGAATCATTAATCCAGACATCAGTTTTGTCAACGGAAGTCACTTTCTTGATATATCTGATTAAAATACTCCGGAAAACAACGAGCGTCTTCAAAATTAGGTAGATTGATGAAATAAAAATATCTATAAAAAAGTAACTCGCAAAATATATTTTTTGATATTCTAGCTGGTTTAATCATAAAACTGTACTGTGGTTCCCCCCAAACTCAACCTTATCAATATTATTCTACTAGAAATCGAAATGTGAATATAAATTTAAAAAAAAACGATTTTAAAATGGCTGACAATCGGATACGTGTTAAGAATGGCGGATTTCTGTGTCCGACTTAATATGAACTACCAATATACCAATTCCGACCGGGTCTCCAACATTAGTCGTCTCACACGACCGAAGTCATCAAACCGGACGACGGGCAATCGTATTATGACGTATATAATTCCAACGTACGCCACGTAACCTCACTTTGCATTTTGCGTATCAGTGATTTGTGGATTTGTGCAACTATATTTTAGTTTTTGTTTTCTCGTTAAAAAAAATGGGCAGCCACTTTTTTAAGCCTAACCTCACATGTCGGAGGAGGATGGGGTCTGCTGGTATCCTAAGCTAAAAAATGAAATTAAGATGCACCAGTGTAATGCAGCATCTCTTCCGGATAAAACGCATTTACGTGTGGAGGCAAGACATCACTACTACTATTATTATTTTGCAAAAGCCTCGACCTCTTTCTGTAAAATGTAGATGAATGCCTAAATGCCTTTTTAGTGTTTTTTAGGCATAATAAAAAATTTAAGTTTGTTTACAAAAACTTTTTATTAGGTTATGTTCATGATGTTCATTAGGTCGCAAATGCTACTTAATGGATTGTATTTACGGACATAAATAGAGATACGTAAATTAGGTTATAAATATGAACATAAAATACAACAAAATATAACTGGACGTTACTTTAGGGATTATCAGTGAGACGTATCCTATTCGGACAATGGGTAGACGTCGGGCTAGTTCAAGTACATGTACGTCGTGCAAGCCAACGTGGGAACGACGTTGGGAAATTAATAAAAATGGTACGTTGTTATTTTGTACGTCGACATATCGTTGGATTTACCGACTCGGATCCAACGACGTCGCTTTTAATAGGAAAGCGACGAATTGTAAGTTGTATATATATATATATATATATATATATATATATATATATATATATATATATATATATATATATATATATATATATATATATATATATATATATATATATATATATATATATATATATATATATATATATATATATATATATATATATATATATATATATATATATATATATATATATATATATATATATATATATATATATATATATATATATATATATATATATATATATTGTATTGTTATCATTGTGTCTATGATTTGGGGTTTGTTAAAAATTATTATGTAAATATAATATAGGAATAAATGTAATCAACCGTGGGTAATTCTGTAGGACTATATAAGATACGAATAAGCAACTAACTTATTAGTATTATATTAAATGTATCATTCATACAAACATTGTAGTATTTAATAGTTTCTAGAAATATACTATTTTCAATGTGAATTTTATCAAAAGTCACGTTATGATTGTCGTGACTAACGACCTTACTGATACCTTTTGAGTATTGAAAACAAGCGAAGTGTGTGTAAAATATTGCACGTCGTAGTTATAATCAACATGACTTACAATTGATATTTTTTGTTGGTGAAAAAAATATAAATACTGTATGATCAAATAAAAAACAGCATGAAACTATCTTAGAAATGACGATCCACGGTATTCACTATTAATATGATTTTACATCAATTGTCATTTAAAACTAACTTAACCCTATTTTTTTCGCATGGCAATTGATAACAATTTCAAATTATAAAATAACGCCATTTAGTGACAATAACAAGATAATTTCTGTTCAGTTTATGATCTAAAAAATCGATTTTTACTGACACCAAGTTAAATAAAATCTAATACAGACATATCAACTGTTGAAACTAAAAATGGTTGCTCTACCACACCATTTTTGAGAGCAGACAAAAAAGGGCTGCATTAAAAAATTCAGTAATTGTAACTAGTGATGTTGGTAGCGAATATTTCCATTCGAATTTTGCAGAAAATTTCAGAAATTTCCGAAATATTTGGTCCCAAAATCGCGAATATTCGCAAAAAATCCGAATTTTGCAAGAAATTTCTTTTCAAAATTCAAGACATTGAGCAAAAATTTAACGAAAGTGTATCAAGTATGCCGATTCTTAAGTCAGAAGAAAAAGAATGCTTCTCCGCCTTACAAAATAGAAAACGTATGACTCTTAAATCAATGCATTTTGCCGCGAATCTCTTGGACCCCTGTTTCCTGGGAGAGCACCTTAACAATGCAGATAGCTATGGCCGCTATGGAATTTATTAACAATATCACCAACAATCATCCTGAGTTTGTCAATAATAAGCCATTTTTACAGATGTAACAAATTATTGCGCCAAATCGGGTTTATGGGCTCTCGACTACGTTTGGATGTCAGTTGAAAATGTAGACTACCTAAGTTGGTGGCAAGCAATGTGTAAAAATACTCAGTTGAAATATTTAGCTGTTGCTCTGCTGTCTTTACATCAGTCATCTATATACATACAGTCATCTGCAGCCACAGAGAGAAGTTTCAGTACTTACATTTTTATCCATACTAAAAAAAGGAATCGCTTAACTGCTAAAGAGCCGGTAAAATAATGTTCGTAGCTCATAACAATAAATTATTACTACAAAAACAAAAAGTGTATATGGAGCATGATATTCAACAACATGAAATTCGTCCAGGACCACTAGAACTCGTGGAGGTAGAGGTCCATCCTTCAGAATCAGAACCAGATGATACATCAAATATATCTGATTTGGAAATAGAAACTGACGAATACAGTACTACTACTACTATAATACTCTATGAAGATGGGACCAGCTTGGCGCCTGATATTCCGGAAAAGAATAATTCAGTTATTTGTGTTTTACGTTTTTTAAATTTATATTTCGTGCTTTTTTGTTTTTTTTTTAAATTCATAGTCATAGTTCGTGGTTTATTATTTTTATTATTATTATTAAGATTTGTCCATATAGGTTGCTTAATAATTTATGATTTACTCTATTGTATAGTAGCCTACATTTATTTATAGGTGACCTAGAAAAAAATAATTCCAAATATACTAATAGCACCTATTAAGTGGATGTAATTTTGCAGCAAAAATCTGAGATCACTTAAAATATATTGTAAAAATAAATGCAATCCATGCGTGAAGTATTTACACAAAAACTCCATAAAAATTACGTTTTCTAAATTGTAGTGTGCGTATGTTTTTTTAATAGGCCTACATGAATTTTTCATTGACACATTACTTATATCATCGATTGTTAGGAAAACTGTTAATAATGTAAAAAAGTGCTTAGTATGTGATAGATACATACCCAAAAGCTAGTGGTAAGTTTGTTAAAAATATAGAAGTTTTTTTATTAAATATTAGCAACAGTAAATTTTGAACAATAACAATATATGGCAGCTACTATTTATTATAAATTTTTTATATAATTTAATACCAAACTACCGAAAAATCACACATTTTGATATACTGATTCTATAATATTTAGTGTCAAAGGCGTCAGGGCAGATCATGAAAATAAAATCGCTGTAGTTTTATACAGGGTCGCTGGTGATGTGTGGAAACGGTCGATTATTACGATTTTATTATTGCATATTTCAATTCTTCGTTCAGTTCCAAGCTAAAATAGAGATACACACAATGTACCTTAAACCGACATTTTCCGAGTTATTGGCTTTTGAAAATATCACTTAAACAAAATTCGATTTAATTAATTTAGATGTACAAAAACCAAAGCAAAAAGACTCTAAGTCTCGGCCTCAACATTTAATATAGAGTCTTATTGTTTTGGCTTTTGTATTTACAGTATTGGCCATAAGTGGATGAACTTTGTTAAAATAATGGGTTTTTCTTAATATGTTAATAAAATTAAAATTCCAGCTATATTTACTTGAAGTCTAGTGTCAGTGCTATAAAAATAAATAGCATTGTTTTTTTTTAAATTTGCTTTAATAAGGCAGCAAAAAATTTAAATTGAAAAAACCATTGGACAAAAGTAGATATATTTAATAAAAAAAAATCTTATGTTAACAAAAACTGAAAAATTAACTTATAATTTACTAGTACTTAGTGTAATAACCCTTATTCTTAATTACTTTCAGACATCGCTTAGGCATAGATCCCAGAAGATTGTCAATTATTGAAAAATCGATATTTTTCCAAGACTCCTCCAAAGCTGCAAATAATTCTTGCTTATTTTTGTAGAATTTGGTCCTAATATGTTGATCCAAAATTTTCCATAAATTTTCTATTGGATTCAGCTCTGGGGATTGCGATGGCCATTTGAGAACAGGCACCATTTCATCTTCCAAAAACCTTTTAACCAATTGTAAGGCATGTTTCGGGTCGTTATCATTTTGGAAGTAGCGTACAACTGGCATTTTTCCTCCAAATAAGGCACTAAAAGCTTTTGTAAAATGTCTCTGTAGCCAAACCGATCCATTATGCCCTCAATTTTATGGAGAGGCCCCATCCCATACCCAGAAAAACAGCCCCATACCATGATTGAGCCCACATCGTGTTTTACAGTGGGTCGCGTGTATTTTGGTAGCAATCGTGTGTTGGGAGGTCTTCTTACATGTTGAAATCCATCTGATGACACCAAATTAAACTTTGATTCATCACTAAAACATTTTTTTTCCATTGTGCCACAGTCCAGTTTTGATGTTCCTTGGCAAATGCTAATCGGGCCTTCAAATTTTTTTTTGATAGCAATGGTTTCTTGGAAGGGTCTTCGGGAAAACAACTTGTGGTTAACTAATTTACGTCGGATCGTCCTTGTACTCACTGGTGGATAGCCCATTTCTTCAAGTTTTGCTTTTATCTTCGTTGACGGCAAAAATGGATCTTGTGAAGAAATTAATTTTATGGCTTTTATCACATTGGGACCAACTTTTTTAGGTCGTCCTGGTTTTCTTTTTATAGAGACATCTCTCTCATTATATCTCTTAAATATATATATAAAATATAATGTACCGCTGATTTTCCAAGGCGTAATTGCTTAACGATTTCCGATGGCTTCAAACCCTCCTTAAAAGCATTCACTACTCGCAAATTAAGATCTGCGGACAAGTTAATTCCACGTGGCATGATATATCATCATCATCATCATCATCACGCAGCCCCTTTTCACGTCCATAGTAGAACATAGGCCTCCTCCAAACGTCTCCAGTTCTCGCGGTTTTTAGCTGTTGCAATCCAGTTAGTTGTTATTCGTTTCAGGTCGTCGGTCCATCGGGTGGGAGGTCTGCCTTGGCTACGCTTGTCGGCTCTTGGTCTCCACTCTATAAGTCTTTTGGTCCATCTCCCGTCTGCCATTCTAGCAATGTGTCAGCCCATCTCCACTTTTGTTTTGTGATTCGCTGGATAATGTCATCCACTCCCGTACGTCGGCGTATCTCTTCATTTCTTACTCGATCTCTCAAAGTCAGGCCAATCATAGATCTCCCCATCCGCCTTTATGTCACTCTCAATTTTTCTGCGGTTGATTTTGTTAGAGTGAGTGTCTCGGCGCCATAGGTCAAAACCGGGAGGATACATTGGTTATATGCCTTTCTTTTCAGGTGTATTGGGATATTTGCTCTAAAGATGTCCCTCATTTTTCCGTAAGCCGCCCATCCCAAGGTAATTCGTCTAGCCAGTTCACAGGTTTGATTATCTCTGCTTATTTTGATCTCATGGCCCAAGTATACATATTTGTGGACTAATTCTATTCTGTTTTTGTGAATTTGTATGTGTTCGCTGGGCACCATATTAGACATTATCTTAGTCTTGTTAAAATTTATTGTAAGTCCAATCTCGTGTAATGCATCGTTAAGTTCTTGAAGCATGTCTTTGATCTCTCCCAGACTATCTGACACTATAACGATATAATCCGCAAAGCGTAGGTGGTTGAGTCTCTCTCCATCGATAACTATTCCTTTTTGTTGCCAAGCCAGCATTTTGAATGCATGCTCAAGAAGAGTAATAAACAATTTTTGCTCCCCTTTTTATTTTTATCTGGTTAGTTGTGGAATGTAGATTTACAGTTGTTGTAGCATTGTCATATATGTTTTTTATTATGTTATAATATCGATGGTCGATTCTACATTCTTGTAGCGCTGTTAGGATGGCCGGTAATTCTACCGTATCGAACGCTTTTTTAAAATCGGCAAATATCAGTGCTAGGGGACGATTGTATTCGATGGTTTTTTCTATTAAGGTTTTTAAACACTGCAGATGATCGTTGGTACCAAATTCGGAACGGAAACCAGCTTGTTCTTTAGGTTGGTAGAAGTCTAATTTTGCCTCTAGTCTATTTGGTATGGTATGATATATTACAAGAGCTCAAATGTTTTTAAATCGCAATTGTTCATAAAAGCAGAACAAACGAAACTAACGATTTTTAAAAATATTTGGTTCATCTCCTTTTGTTTGTAAGTGCGATACTTAATAATATTTGACATTAATATTTGGCATCAAGTTAGAATTCATAGATGTATATATGAAGTTATATCAAGTCTGGAAATTATTTTTTTAGTTTTAAAAAATGCTTAAATTTGCTGCCAGCTAATAGACATTTAAAAACCTTATAACTTTCGTATTTAACTTTTTGCGGTACCTTGTATATTTTACCCCATAATCGAACGTTCCCATACATATCAGCGACCCTGTATATAAAATTATATTTTTTTTAATCATACACAAACCTAACGTGGGAAATAAGTCATCCATAAAACCTACATGTTTTCTTATGAATTGATTGCAAATTTTTAACCAATAATTTGCTGAAATAAAATTACTAAATTTTTATCAAACAGTTGACGATTTTGTTTATATATACGTGCTTTCTGAAAATATAAACGTATGTGTAAGAATTTGCATGTGGTAAAGAAGTTGGTTTTCTTTCAAATAATTTGATTGCTAAGAAACGCTTAATTATAAGTCCATTATCGATACAAATGTATAATTTAACTGTAACAAATATAGTTATATTACGATTGTTAGAAGAAACCACCCTGCATGCTATTGATATTTAGAGGTTTTTTTCTGAACTACATAAGACAATAAAATGTGATACAATCAGTTTTAAAAATCGCTTCTAAGAACTGTATGTTTAATTATTACATGCACAGTAAAACGTCTATTTAAAATTGTAAACAATAGCAATTTGTATTTTATACATTTTAGAGAGATATTGTCACTGGAAATTTTGTGTCACGTTTGTATATATTCAGTATAAAAGGGTATATCAAGTCATTTTAGATTTCAGTTAGGCCAACATTAGGCTCCGATTGAAATGGAACTGTTAAGTTTTGTAGTGTGCTTTGGGCTGATTGGAGTAGCATTGGCCAAATCAGAAGAATGTGGAAAGATATATAGTGAGTATTGGGGTTTTGTTAAGTTTTTTATACACTGTATGTTTGTTTAAACCCAATCAAAAATTTATAGACTAAACATAGATTTGTATGTAGTTAAATTACTTAATGATTGAATATTTTCAATTTCTTCAATCCTAATGTGTTAGTATAAATTTAATGTTAGTGTGATAATATTAAAAAGCTACTTATACAGGGTGAGTCTTAAATAAGTACAAATATTTTCAGGGCTGGTAGATATTGAAAAAAGAAACATATTTTCTCTTTATCGGTTTTCAAATAAGTTTAAAATAACCAAGATATTTTACTTTGAAAATTTCAAAAAAGATTGATTCTTCGCTTAAATTTTGAGAACCACCGGATTTTTTCTGGGTTTTCTTTCTTGTAAACTTAATCTACCATCTAGTATGTTGCCATATTATGAAGATTTTATTTTTTTTAGCTAAAAATTTAAAAAAATATTTTTTTTTTCAATAAATTCCAAATTTTCATTTTTTGTTGAAACAACAAAAAGAAACTCATAGTTGTGCTTATGTCGAAAAATACTCCCCCTAAAAATATTTGTAATTATTTAACATTCGCCCTGTATAGTTCATACTGTACAAAGAAATAAAACATTTTACCGGAAAATTTAAATAAAAAAAAAGTTTGCGAAGTATAAATATTGCTTTTATTTTAATGAATAGACCAACAAAAAAGTATATTTTTGATCAATAATTTATACATTTGCATGTAATTAAATTTTCTTTTTTCCAATGTCCAATCCAAAGAATATTTTCAATTTTTCCAATCCTTATTGTGTTGGTATAAATTTAATATTTGTGTGGTAATGATAAAGAGCTACTTATAGAGGGTGAGTCGCAAATAGAATAATAGGATATACGCAAATATTTTCAGGGTTGGTAGATCTCGATAAAAGAAACATATTTTCTCTTTACCGTTTTACAAATAAGTCCAAAATAACCGAGTTATTTTACTTTGAAAATTTCAAAAAAATACATTCCAGATTTTCAATTTATTTTTCGCGAAAAATACTCATAATCATGTTTCTGGGGTCGAAATATACTACCCCTAAAAATATTTGCACTTATTTAAGACCCACCCTGTATAGTTCATAGTGTACAAAGAAATAAAACCTTTTACCGGAAAATTCGAATAAAAAGGTTAGTTCGAAATATAAATATTACTTTGATAGAGAAACAAGTTTATTTGATTTTTTGCTACAAAATTCCGCCCATTTATTATATTATTTAAATAAACTAAATAATACATTTATACATTTAAAATATATTTTGATTATTCTTTTTGTTTTCTGTTTCTAGCATTAAGCCATTTTTATCGATATCTGTTCAGTGTTTTTTTTCTTTTCTTTCAATTTTTATATTTCAATATAATTTATCGTTTAGCCTATGTACTATTGTACTACTATACACTGTACTATTTTTTATGAAACTAAAGATGCTAGACATAAATTTGCTTAGGCTAGCCTAAAATAAATCGTGAACGAGAAACCCTTCAAAAACACACGAAAATGGGACACACTACTATAACCTCTTTTATCTATGGTATGTACTTAGTACTTCTTGACCTATGCATTGAATATCAATATATTTTTATGAAATATAGACAAAAATAATCTGTATTTGATTAAATATTATCCAAAGAAATATTAATCTTATATTTAGGACCAAAAAGTATATTCAGATATTATTTTTTATTTCAGGAGTATTTACTTTTTAATAAGCTAAAATTGTTTAATTGTTTAAAACCATTATTTCAATTTTAATTACCTACTTAAATATGCATGTGTTATTCGAATTTGCAATTTAGCTACATGTTTGTAAAAAGATAACAAAATGCTTGAAATAATTAGTAAATTAATTTATTCAATAATTTGTTTCCATCATCTAGTGACTAATGCATGATTTATTAGTGAAATTTAAGGATTATGAATTATTGAAGAGTATTTTAAAATTAAAGATATGTAATATATAAGTCTAAAATATACAGGGCTGTTCACCACATACGACACGGAGTACCTATTGTAGCTAAACGATTAGATTTTTACAAATTGTCAGTTTTAGGTTCGTTGAATGACTAATAGTCTTTTACCAAATCCAAAACTTACTGAAGGACTAATAGTCCTTTAACGAATCCAAAACTTACAATTTCTAAAAATATAAACGTTTAGCTACAATACTCCGTGTCGCATGTGGTGAACAACCCTGTATAAATCTAAAAGAAGATAATAATAAGTATTTTTTTATTATTTCACTAAGACCTGCTAATAAAGTCACCCATTGTAGGTTTAGAAGTATCAAATGATGACGAAAAGCTAATCCTCAACAAGCATAATGAACTTCGCAAACTTATTGCCAGGGGAAAGATTCCGGGACAACCAAGAGGAGTTAATTTGAAAAAAATGGTTTGTCTTAATTTCTGAATTCAGTTAGATACTTTTAATATTGACTATGGGTGTTTGTTTTAGAAATATGATTCCTTACTGGCAGCTGAGGCACAAATAATAGCGAATTCTTGTATATTTGCCCATCAAACTGTAGTTGATGGTAAGTAATCATAATTTTTTTTTCAAAATCTAAATCAAAAATCAATGTTATTAAATATTTCGTTTATTTACACAATACACAACAGCTGATTTATGACACATGCAGGCCGTTAGACCACCAGTATCGATAGTTTTCAATCAATATGGAACTTAGAGTCCAACTTTATACATAAGACTAGCGTGTACCGCGACTTCGTTCGCGTCGAATTAATCATTTGTAATGGTGATGATAAAGCAAAGCAAGAATTTCCATTAACATATTTCTATTAACATACAAACTGGATAAAAATTTTTCACATTTATGTCAACATGACAAAAAACAATATGGCGATATTATTATATAACTTGGTAATATTTGAGGGGTAGTTTCATCTCGTTGGATTTGACTTTCGAAAAATCCGTTTACCAAAAATAAGCTTTTTACGTCAAGCAGTTTAAGCAGAATCGTGATTAATTAATTACCCAACTTTTTGGAACACCCTGTATGATTTTTAAAAAAATTTCAAAATATGTAAAAAACAAAATAAATTATGCGTGTCCAAGCGTTTTCCCGAAAGACTAACCGTTTTTTAAATAACAAATATTGTAATATTTTAGGGGCGTTTTCACCCTCTTGGAATTTGAGATTCGAAAAACCCCTCCTTATCGAACCTCTACACCCCACAGTCAATCCGTTTAAATCAGCTTTAAACGTCAAGCAATTTAAGCAGAATCGTGATTACTCAATGGTCATATTTTATGAAACACCCTGTAAATTTTTTTAAAAAATCTTAAAATATGTAAAACAACAAAATAAAATATACGTGTTTAAGAGTTTTTTTCCGAAAAACTCACCGGTTTTTAAATAAAAAATATTCTAATATTTGAGGGGTGGTTTCACCCCCTTAGAATTCGAGTTTCGAAAAATCCCTTCTTATCGAACCTCTACACCCTAAAGTCAATTCGTTTTCCAAAAATCAGCTTTTTACGTCAAGCGCTTTAAGCAGGATCGTGATTTATCAATGACCAGATAGTTCGAAACACCCTGTATACATTTTTAAAAAATCTTAAAATGTGTAAAAAAGACAAAATAAAATATACGTGTTTAAGCGTTTTTTCGGAAACTTGACCGTTTTTTAAATAAAAAATGTTGTAATATTTAGGGGTGGTTTCACCCCCTTGGATCTGGAATTTCGTAAAATCCCTTCTTATCGAATACGAACATAGGTAATAACTATAATTCAATTAAATTGAAATAAACTACCCCTATCATTCTTGTTAACGAAATTTAAAGAAAAATCTTATCAAACACATGCAAAAAAATTAATTTGGATAGTTTAGTTTGTTTAGAAACTTTTTTATCTCTTGTGTTTTTTTGATAAAACTCACCGATTTGAAATTAAAAAATAAAATGTATAGCATTACATGTCAGGACAAAAAACATTTTCTGATAAAGAATCTAGTGGGCTGCTGTAATTTTTTTAGGAATAAATCTAGTCGGCCGCTGTTACTTTTTAGGATGTTTCTAATATTATTTTATTTGACATTACTTTACTGCAATAGGTTATTATCTAGATGATTATTATTATCGTTATTATCACTAGAAAGGGTGGTTTCATAACAGTAATGCTTCCATAAAATTTCATTAGTCTATCTCTTTTCATTTTCAAGATAAAAAATAAAAACATTATTTTTTCAACGTTTATGAAGCAAACTACCCTTTATTTTGAACAAGGAATCACCCCTTGAAGTTTTTCGCATTTGTTTTGAAACACCCTGTATATAAACAAGGGTATAGATAAGCGAATATCTATGTACGCAAAGTTTCATGTAAATGACCGAAAGTTGACTATAGCTGTCTAATAAATAGGCTATGATTGATAGGCAAAAGTTTTTAAATATCATTCATTAATGTAATTAAAAGTTTTGCTATAACTTCTTATTCTCTAGGCAGATGGCATGCTGTTGGGCAGAATCTATATATTTCCTATTCTACTGGATATGATCCAAAACCAGACTGGTCAGCAGCTATTCAAGCGTGGTTTGATGAACATAAAATTTACACTTACGGGAGCAGATTTTCAAAAAGTACAGGGCACTATACTCAGGTAATTAATAACTGCATCGAAAATTTGGTTAAACATTTTTATATTACTAACCATGACGAAGAACTCCCATTAGCAAACCTAATCTCATCTACACATAACGTAGTACGAAAAGGAAAAATATGGAATCTATTAACAATAGCTACCTGATAACAATTACTTAATGAGGTAAAAGTAAGTCTCAAACTTTCTGTATATGTTCATTAAGATCAAAGAAGCGATAGCCATACATTTCTAATCTCTACAAATACTTGAGCAATACATTTATTTTTATTAGATTTGATTAAAAAAGTCTCTTTTAGTGTTTAACTTTAGTGGTAAATGCACTCTTTCTCTTGGTTTGATGATCCAGGTTTTGTTTTTGTTAGGACACTTCTTAGAGTAGTTTTATTTAGACAGTTTTATTTTATATTACTTAGGTATTGATCTTCTCCGATGTTCCTTTTACATTTGACTTGCAATTTGATATAATATTGTCTAGGGATTTTGCAGTGAGTTAACCATTCTGAATTGATTCTTGGTCTTCTTGGATTCTGAGATTCTTGGTCAGTGCATATAGTGATCTATAACATAGTGTTTTAATTATACCTCTTTTGGTTGCTTCAGAATGGTTCGAATGAGAGTTTAAATATTGTCCCATATGTGTGGGTTTTCTATACCGTGCTGGCAACTGTTACTTTTGGGTCGGTATTTACATGTGTGGAAGTAAATCGCATAGGGATCTTATTAAGTCCGAGTGAGAGAAATGCGACGTTGCCGGTATGCCTTTCCCTATCAGCTAAAGTAAAATCACGATCATAAACCGCTTATTTTTAAAAGATGATGACATTATAGATACGTTTCTCGGCATCTGAAATGGAATTATAAAGATATCGTTAAGGTGTCCATTTTTTTATAACGAGAAAACGTCAGTAATCACGATAATCATAAAACCACTTTAGAAACTTTTTTTTTATTTTGAAGATCGGATCTTTTACAATGTGTTTAATCTATCTATTTACTGTTAGTGCATAGAAATTTTCAGCAATCGTGTAACTTTTTTATTTATAAAGATTTTCACATACTGTCTGCGAAGAAAATATAGCAGAAATATTAAGAAAGTTTTTGAAAAAACTACAATCATTTATTTCTAATATATTTCGAGATATTGATTTTTGAATTCAGAGTTCTAATAGCGCAATCACTGTCAAACACTAACTCAATTCCACTTATTTTTACCAAAAATGCAAGTCTTTCTAACTTGCACTTAAACATTTTTATGCTATAGAGAAAATTACAACGACTCGTTAATAAATAAACAAATAAAATATCACGAGACGTAATTAAATCGTGAAGCTGAACCCATGTAATGTACACCTTTCCCTAGAACTTTAAGTACTGACAAAGGTACTGATTGGGTCGACCGGTTAACTGCGACAAATCGGAAGTGTCTAGGCCCAGCAGGCAACTATTAAGCTTGACCAATCAGGTTGGTTATCGTGGTTATTTGGAGGGTGTTAATTCATTTGTGTTTGGTAAAATACTCTAACGTGATTGGTCGGGCTTAATAGTTGCCTGCTGGGGCTAAACACAAGTGACAAATCTGCTATATCCCCTTCCACGTCTCAAAGCAATGTGTACAGTTTCTCGGTTTATTTCATACGTTTGGCAACATATTTACTGTTCTCTCTTTGTTCAGTACATTATAAACGCATTGTACTCTTGTTACATACGGAAATCTCGACCCAAGCTTAACCTTTGCCAGCCCTTAGTATACAGCAGTGCTAATCGCTCCATAGCTTCTACTGACTAGAACATCCAGAAACGGTAGACAGAAGTTTTTCTCTTTCTCAATGTTTTTGTCTTTATATTCTTTAATTCGAACATTTAATGGTTAAGATGTTTCACCAATATGAAATTTATCACAATATATTATTATTTAATATACAAACTACCATGTGAATATCTATATTAGCTTTTTGTAATTTTTGACTGACCCTATAAGACTGGCAGATAAAGGTTATGTGTAGACGGGACGTAAATAGTATTAATAGTTTTTTACTTTTAATTACCATTTTTATATAAATTTTATTATTCTATTATTTAAGCTTGTTTTTACCAATTAATATAATGTGTTTCTTACTTTTTATTTTTTCTACAATTTAATATTATTTAAATAGAATTTCTAATACTTTATTTCAATTTCCAAGGTCTTAAAAAGTATTTGAAAATCATAATTTAAAAATTATTGCCTTTTAGTATCTCATATTATATGTTTTCTTACAGATGGTTTGGGCTAAAACAGAGTATGTAGGTTGCGGATACGTCTATTTCAGTGGAAACGATTTTTGGAAATATAAGAAATTATATGTCTGTAATTATGGCCCAGCGTAAGCCAATTAAGAAATAGTAATAAAAACATTTTAATAATTTGAATACTTCTTTCAGAGGAAACTACATTGGCGAACAACCATACCAAACAGGATCTTCAGGCTGCGAAGATTTATGCTGATATAAGTAGCTAAGAATTTTTTCATAAGTGCTTAATTTATATTTTATTAATTTAATGTAGAATAATATTTAATGAAACTATGCTATTTTATACATATTTAAATTAATTTATAAGTTGGACATTTTTATTAATTTCTATTTAAATTTTTAAATAGATTATATATAATTCTTTTCGTGAATTGCTATGAAAAATGTCCACGTTGGGTTTATCATTTTGGGAAAATCAACAAAGCCCGAAATGACAAACACAACGTGGATTTTTTCATAGCAACTCACGGCAAGAATTATACAATCTATTTATTTATAAACGTAAAACTGCAAGAAAACTATTTCCACTTTGTAAAATTTTAAATTGATAGAGAATAAAATAAAACTTACTGTTTGGAAAAAAAACGTTTTTAAATTTTTAATTAAATTACATTTTTTTATATCTTTAACTGTATGTATACCTCTATGCGAATATTTATATCAATAAATGTTTGAAATTTAATTCCCAAGCAGCATTTGGACGTCGGGACAACGTTGTGTCACGCGACCAAACGTCGGGGCGCAACGTCGGCACAACCTCGTGCCAACCCTAGTCTGCACTAGTTTGGAGAATAATTTTTGGGTCGAAACGACGTTGGATACCGACGTTGGCTAGAAGCCTAATTTAGTACAAACTGCAACGTTGTTTAAAATCCTAATTCATAGAAATACAAAACTAATATGGCGTCTAAGTCGCGTTTTATCCTAAATTGGGATAATTATAGTAAAAATATTATTTTTATGATTTAGTTAGAGAGATATGTCAGATGGCAGTGAAGAAAAACAAAACAAAAGTATTTAAGTGTGGAGGATGTTTGAAGATCATAATTATTGAAACACTTTAACCGACTCTGTAACTCGTTACCCAAGGCAAAAAAAGTTAAACGCAAACAACTTTATTGATAAATGTATTGTTTCTACTTTGAAAAATACTAATGGGCCTTAAAATTAAAGAAGTTTTAAAAATTTTCTTGAATTTTTTTTTAGTAAAATGAGAATAATTTATTCGCAGTCGAAAAAATTGTTTCCGCGTGTTTTTAGGGTCAAATATTTCAAGTGAATGTATTCAAAAGCAGGAATTGCTATTTTAGAACGAAACATTTTCTTATTTAACAACATGGCGGCTTTCACTTTGTTGTTTTGGAGATTAAGATGGAGTAGTTCGAGTAGTCGCATACTGGACTAATAAAGTCGCAGTTCGGCCTTAACAGGTAGTATACTAGTCGCAAGATTGCCTAATTTAGTCATCCTAGAGTCTAGCTTGTGCCGCCCTCTATAATCTAAATAAACGAGGGAGTGGATAAACTATCGGTAATATATGTCGATGTATATTTAAATTTAGTTTTATATGTACCTTTCTTATGTTCCATTTTAATTAAGTTTTTTTTTTATAAAAACAAAAACAGCACTGAACTGTCTGACTGAACAGAACAAAGAAGTGAAAATTTAAGATTTAAGGTTATGGTTCAATACAGTTGCAAAAAGGTAGTGACTCGACGTCCTACCAACGTAAGAATAAGGAAATCTAAACAACGTTGGAATTAGTAAAACAGACGACGTTTGCATAACGTTGGAATAGGTCCTGAAACTGACGTCGGAAAACTCAATATTGTCCAACGTTGTAACTACGTTGTCCGAATCACCTAAATATCACTTAAGCAAAAAAGGTTACAAGACAACGTTTATTCGACGTCGCAGAAGCTTCTACTTTGCTGTAGTACTAGTCCAACGTCGGCACAACGTTATAAAAACGTTTAAATTTATTTTAATACCCAAGGTAGGGAGATAACTATTTTTTGTAACTAATCCAACGTTGTGTTTAGTAAACATGTGGTCGCAAGTCGTGAAAATGCTACTTGGGTTGTGTTTTACCCTTGCACTTTTGTGCATTAAAAACTTTTTAGATAATGATATCAGTATAATTTTCACTAATATCTTTATCTATAAGCTCATTACCATGAACTTAATACTATACTAAATACTCTAAATTGGACAGCTTTATTAATTTCTGTTTGAGTTGATTGATTATTTCAAAGTTATATATTTTAAGTAGATGACAATTTTATATCTTTATATCAACTGTATGTATACCTATACCTGTGCGAAGATTTATTTCAATAAATATTTGAAATCTAATTGTATGTTTTGTTTTATCCTTGCAATTTGTTGTATTAAAGGCGTTTTAGATAATGACATCCAGTAAAAATTTTCACTAATGTCTTTATCTTTAAGGTCATTACCATAAACTTATAAATTAATATTTAATTTGTTTAAAAGGCTCTTGTTATTTACGTCTACATAATATAATAACTGAAGCGGTATTTTTATCATTTTTGTTATCATCAGCCAGGTAATATAGTAATAATTGTTAATATAAAAGCATATACATTTTCCTCAATAAGTAACTAAAGTTATCGTTAACACCAATAAACCTCTATACAAAATAATACATAAAATATACCTAACTATAGAGAAAAAACTAAATAAGAGTGTCCCAAAAAAGTTTTGCTTTGTAATAATAAGAAATTTTAATATCTTAGTAAGTATTAAAGTGTTTTTTGAAATACTAGAATTTTAAGTTTGAAAATTGCATTTTGCTCTAAATATATTTTTTCAATTATTTACAAGTTAATAAAATTAAGTATAATTATCTATATTTTATTGATTTTATCATTCCTAATTATTAGTTTAAGCCAATATATTTATATTTTAGTTACCCAAGAAAATGAATTATCTATTTGTCACTATAATTCTGATAGCTGTATATTTTAAATTAGGATCAGGAGCTGGAAGAATAATTGGTAATCTTTGTAAAATACTTAAACAATAGAAATGAAAAAAAAATATTTTTGTAATTATAGCATATGGAGTCTCACAAGCTGAGCAGAATGCAATTGTCAATATTCACAACAATTTCAGAAAACGAATAGCAAGTGGTTCTGTTCCTGGTCAACCGAAAGGCATCAATCTTCGCCGATTGGTATTAAATATAATTTAAGTTTCATAACGGATTTAGAAAGAAAAAAAATCTTCTCGTCTAAATGAGTGTATTAATTTAAAAAGGGATTTAATATTTAGATGTTGTGAATTATAAAAAAAAAATTCTCATATTTTTGTAATATTTTAGCGTTATGATCACAAACTTGCTCTAGAAGCACAGAAAATAGCAAATACAACCGTTTTTCGACACGTTGGGGTTAAAGACAGTAAGTATATTTATTTTTTTAGTTTAAGAACTAGAAAGATCTATTATGACGGTCATATACACTTAGATGCAAAAAAAACGGAGAAATTTTTGGTCAAAAAGCGTTATATTTTTGTTATTTTTAACCCTATTTTCATTAATTTTTTTAGCAAGTTGTATATAATTATATCAACCTTAATTCGTAAACTCAGCTTTTTAAATTGGACTATTAAATTGTTAGAACTTTAGAATTTAAGAAGATGTTCAAATATTCCTCCATCGACTGCTGGACAATTAACCCAGGCCATCATAAAATTCTCTTCTTACATTAGCTAGTTGGTAAACTGAAATTCTATTGCATTCCGCAGAAATAGCATTTTTTAACTCATCTAGATTTGGGTATTTTTTATCCTTGTATATCCTGTTTTTTAAATGGCCCCAGAGAAAGAAATCATTTGGCGAAATATCAGGAGACCTTGCTGGCCAATTTACTGTATGCTTTAGGCCAATAACGTTTCCGTTAAAACTATTGTCTAAATATTCCCGAACAGCCAGGGTACTATGTACTGTACTATGTGCCGAGCAGCCATCCATTTGGTACCAAACTTCCTGATTTTCCCAAGCGGCATCATGTAAAGCAGGTAGTATATGATTTTCGAGTAGTTCCAAATAATATTCTGCATTTAAATTTCGTGTAAGAAATAATGGCCCGATAATATTGTGTCCGAATATCCCTGCCCAAACATTTACTTTCTGTGGATATTGCGTCCTTGTTTCGACAAACCTGTGCTGGTTTTCTTTGTTCCAATATCGATAATTTTGAACATTGGGTTCATTATTTAAGGTAAACGTGCATTCGTCAGTGAAACATGTTTTTTTTAAAAATTCCTTATCCGTGTTTGCTCTTTCCATCATATCAAAACAAAACGCCTGCCGCCGTATTTCGTCCCCATCTCGTAGGTCTTATATGGAAATAGTATTTCATATGGAGGAATAGTATTTATGTCGTTTCAAAATTCGAAACGCTGTAGTGTGATGTATTCCTATTTCATCCTCAAGTTTCCTTGTGCTGATCTTTCCATCGTTCTCTTCCACGCACAATAAAACTTCCAAGTCGGTATCATTTCTTGCATCTTCTCTTTGTTCCTGCCTTGCTTCACATCTGGAGTTATTTATTAGGGTACCTTTGGTCTCAAATCTCTGGATATTCCTTGCGATTGTACATTTTCCAGGTATCGGTTTATTCGGATACAGAGCAGCAAACATGTCCGACACCTTTTGATAACTATTTCCTTGATAATACCATTTAATCATCAATACTTTTTCTTCGGTAGTGTAATTCATGGCTGATATTTTCGATGTAGGTATGAGTTATTAATAATAATAATAAAGCACTAAATAGATAAATTTCTGAAATGACAACTTCATTTGACAGTTATCTTTTACCTTGACTGGTGCTCATAAGTAAATACAGGGCCATAAGAAAGGAGAAATATTTAAAAAGAAATCGGCGATAACTCGTAAACGGGCTAATCAAAAATATCTAAAGTTATTCTGCAAAATAAAAACACTAAATCACCACAATACATCAAAACACTTTTACACTGGACGCGCGTCCAGTGTAAAAGTAAAAGTGTTTTGGTGTATTGTGGTGATTTAGTGTTTTTATTTTGCTGTGTAACACCAAAGGTTCCAATCCTCAACTGTAATAAAGTTATTCTTTTGGATGTGGGTTTTAGTGCTCTTCAATAAACCTAAATAGAATTATTCTCTAAAATAATTAGGGAAGCCAATAATTGACCCCATTAAAATTTACATGGGATTTCCTATGTCCCGCTCGACGATGCAACACCCGGTATAGGGTTAATCGAGGGGTTGTTTTGTTACCCTAACTTCAAAACACCCTGTGCAATAATTTCGTCTGTAAAAATTTTCCTAAAATATAATTTTAGGGTTAGAACCATGACTTCTGAGTAGCGATGGGAACTATGGAATGAATTAGACTATCGAATGGTTACTGAATGAATGATTTCAACTATCGAATGGTTTTATTCGAATAAAATCATTCATTCATTTGTATACTAAAGCATATGTGACAACCTCGCCGTGCGACTAAATGGTTATCGTTGAGCCACGACTATCGAATGCTTTTGATAAATGAAATAGTATTCGTTTGATTTTTGTGTGCGTCAGTGCATTATTAGTTCTTCCAAATTTTTATAACTTCACCTTATAAATACTGTGCTATTTTTACGTTTATTAAAATATTTAAAATACTAAAATAGTAGTTTTTTTTAATTGACGATTGTGTGCGTGTGCAGGTGTCAAAATTTTTGTGATTTTCCGTAGCCCGATCTTTCAATTATTTTATTTTATATGGTATATATGGTCTATTTTTTAATGGGAAATTTTGAGAAGTAGCAATTTTTAACAGAGATGAGATGAACTTAGAATTAATTTTAAAAATACATATTTGTATTTTAGATGTTTTAATAATACGAATTAGTTGAACTTAATAACCATATTTAAGTAATCTGGTTAAGTAAATGGTTCTCGAACTCAAACTATGGGGTGAGAAAATTAAATTGGAAGTTTTACACGTGCCAATTTAAAAAAAAAGTTAACAATGTTTGTTTTTTGTTTAAGCTAATTCTCTTACATGTAGTTTTTTGCGAAGAAATATTTAATTTATTTTTTAAAGTAAATGCCAGTAAAAGTAAATATTATTTTTAAATAGTAATATAAAGTACCTAATATAAATAATTTTGATTTCTAATTTTTTATTTATATTTTCCTTCCATTACACTGCATGCTTAGAAAATTAATAAATGTTTATATTTCATGATTTTAAAGTTTGTTGTTAATATAACAAATTAGTTCTGTAATGATTATTATTTAATAAACCAACGTTGCCACAAAAAATTTAAAGACCAATTATTTTTAAATAGGATCTAATATAAATAATTTTGACATCTAATTTGTTGTTTATATTTTGCTACTACGTAAAAAAATGTTTATATTAAATTATTTTAAATTTTGTTGTTATAGGTATAACAAATTCTTACTGTTATTATTATTTTTATTAAACCAGTCTTTGCTTAAAAACATTAAAAATCATTTTCCTACATCCAAAATATTTTATTATCTAACATAACCTAACCTAACAACAGAATATTAATAAAAAAAATGCAAAATATTTATACATACTATCGCTAACTAACTAAAGCCAAACATAATAATATTCTTTGCTAATATCAACTAATACCAATATATGGCAACAGCGCCCTTCATAATGTATTTTCTGTGTAAATACTACCACCTCAATAAAAAAAATAATATGTCCTTATCTTTATATGACTCCGCAAAAAATCAAAGATGCCGGCTTCTTTCATAGCATTGCCACCGACCGCTGTCGGGTTTCTCGGAAAGAAACCTACGTCGCCGGGCGACAACTAAAATCCAGTTAATATTTTATTATAATCGATCCTGACGAATAAATGAATTTGATAAATGAATGAATTTTATAAATGAATGGTTTTTGCTGCCGAATTACTAGAATACAATATTTCAAGGCAGATGACGCATCTATTCGATAATTTTTATTCGAATAGTTTTCAACGAATGTTTTTTACTAGCTATCGAATTATTCGAATGAATTGCAACTATCGAATGTTTCGATAGTATTCATTCGATAGTTCCCACTACTACTTCTGAGCATTTTGTTTTTTCATTCATGTTAATACATGCTTTGGTTAATTTTTAAAAGCGAAATGAACTGATAACGATTAATTTGCAATTTTTTTAATTATCATTACTTTTTGATTATTTTTCAATATGACAAGGCTGCTTTGGTGATTATTAAATTATATCATTAATTTTCAAAAAGAAATGATAATTGAAAAAAATGCAAATTGTTGGTGGCAAATTCATTTCGCTTTTAAAAATTTTAACCAAGTCATGTTTAATTTTATACCATTTATTTTTTTATAGGTAGATTTTCCGTTGGTCAAAATTTATATAAAACGTCTTCAACGGCAGCTGGTGGTTCTTCAAATTGGAACGGAGCTATAACAGGGTGGTTTAACGAATATAAGTCTTATAAGTTTGTTAAATGCTGCGCTGGTTATGAGAAGACTGGACACTATACTCAAGTATGAATTGCGTTTGTACTAATTTAATAATATACCATCGACAAAAACGGCATTAGGGTTAGCTTTTAAATGTTCCTCCAATTTCAATGTATGCATTCAGAACGCCAAAATTAGTGGTAGTCCACTGCCGTTCTTTAAAAGATCAGCCTGGGGGCGGACTTTTGTTTACTTCATCAGCTGTACATACTTAGATATTGGGTCAGATTCCGTTTCATATTTTGTCAGTTGATTTTTGGTTTTAATTCTATGATTTTTGGAATTATTTATTATTGTAGTGCAAAAAACTAATTATTTTGGTGTTTAAGTGACATAAACTACTACCAGATATATGGTCACTCTCGTTTCCCATAAAAAAATAGAAAAATTGAAAAATTACACGTTGTGTAAGTGATTTAACCTAAAAGTGCCCATACATTTTGTACTCATCGTGATTTTTGTGTATGTTTTTTAAGACTCTAACAATTCATCAATAAAGCTTAAGTGGAGTGTGTTTTTGGTGCTATGCCTCATCTTTGTGGTGTTCCTGGTGAAAAGGATAGTTACACTACGCAGCCTAAAGTGTCCGGAAGAGCAAGAAAAGTGGGTTCGAGTTATAAATCAAGAGAATTCTATTGAAAATATCTTTAATAAGTTTTAAAATAATATTCTCCCATGATGGTATTAATGAAAACTGGACAATTATGTTTATTTTATTCATATTGTGGAATGTCCACTCCAAGTGTTGTTGGTTCAGCTTCGATAGATTCAAACACGTAAGTAGGTATTATGATCTAGGGAAAAATAAAGAATATGTGTATTAAAGATCATGAAAAGGATTATTATTTTGAGTTCAAATTTTAAAAAAAGATTTTTGTAAAGACAAGACTGATACAGTTTAAAAGAAGAATGTGTTTTTGTTTGATAATATATAATGTATGTCAAGTTGTCAAGCATAACATATATTTTTGTTCAGTAATTTTTAATGAATAGTGTTGATTATTTATAATACCAAATTAATATCAAATATTTAAGTGATGGCTGAATACAATATGAATAAAATAACAATAAAATCGGTATATTTGCATAATACAAAATTAAGTTTTAAGAATAAAGGTGTTACTAAAAATACCAAAGAAAAATACTAAGAAATTCATATTTCTTTGTTTTAATTGGTCTAATGTTATTTACATTTTACGTAAGAATTATACCGTATCATCGAAAAAAATCGGCGTCTAGTTGGCTTGGAAATGAACATCGATGACATTCCCTAAATAACTGTACACATAAAATAATTAACTAGAATTTTACAATCTTGGAAAATTTGATATTCTTGAACCTTGTTTCTAAATATTCTAAATTTTTTGATTTTCTTGGGATTTAAGTTCGGGAAAAACGCTGATTAAGTTTTCATTTGGTTTTTCATTATTTTTATTTGGTTTAAAAAAAAAACGTTTCGGCTAACATTATAGCCTTCATCAGTGTTGTGTCATATGAAAAAAATAGTGTCGAGTATAATCCAAAAAATTACATATAAAATATTCACACCACACACATAATGTTTACTGCGTACTCCATAGTCAATGTAGATAATTTTAGTGTTAAGAATAATAATTTTAAAAAATATGTGGTCATCTTTTGATAAGTTTATATTAGTTTATTAATTGCAGTAAACATTATGAGGTGTGAATTATATTGTATATGTAATTTTTTGGATTATATTCGACACTATTTTTCTCATATGACACAACACTGATGAAGGCTATATTTAGCCGAAACGTTTTTTAAACCAAATAAAAATAATGAAACCCAAATGAAAACTTAAATCAGCGTTTTTCCCGAACCTAAAATCACAAGAAAAACAAAATTTTAGAATAATTTTATTTATAAAATGCCAGCGATCTTCATTTCATACCCATCGCTGACGCCTTTTTTTAGATAATATTGTATTATTTGTAAATATAATTTTTCGAACATTGATACTTGCAAAATATACAAATAAATTTTGTGAATGCAAATAATAATACATCACTATTAGTAGATATTGAATGTTTTTTGTTAAATTAGATCGATTTTCAAACCCCAAAATTTAAAATATATTTACATTTTACCCATTATCTTATGTACCTATACATTATTTGTACATTGTAAAACATTTGCTGCATTTGTATGGTTCATAGTTTATTTGCCAAAGTATTTATTACTATAAATAGGTATATATGTTGTAGTTATTAACTGTATATTATGTATATTTCATGTAAACTATATCATTTTTAAAATACAAACCAAAAATCTGAGGAATAATTATGTTTTCCATGTATTCTACAACATATTTATTAATCCGTTATATCTAACTAGCGTGACGTCATAAATCTCGCCCGTGGGCTGATCTTTTAATAGAAGGCACTGGGTAGTCATTTTCAGATAGTACAAAGGTTAATACAAAAAATTAACAAACTTTTGACATTTCCACTAATTATACCTCAAAATTTGCCAGGAATGTCATTTTCGCCTTTGATTTTCTATCCGTCAAAAGAAATTGTGGTTGTGGTTAAAAATCAAAAGTTATGTGATTGTTTTATAAGCTTAATATTTGGCATTCTAGCTTTATGGATACAGCTGACTACCGCAAGCTGTTGCTAGGAAATTCTATTAGTTTTAATTGTGTTTTTTAGACATTGTGAATGATCGTAAACTAAAAAGTATAAAGTGTAATTGAAACCACTAATTTATTCCACTAATTACGAGGTTCTGAATGAAGCTTAAACAAGACAAACGTTGTAAATACAATTTGATCGAAAAAAATGGGGTTAGCGATGGCTACGAAATGAAGATCGCTGTTATTTTATATGTAAATTTATACGGGCAATGGTATATCGATCGTCATTTCCAAGCTGACTGAACGCCGGTTTTTTTTCGATCATACGGTACCATAAAACACCAATGCAATAATATCAAGAACATAATAAAGTTACTTACGTTCAGCGTGTTCAGCCCCATATACGACAACACTAGTATTAGTTGTCTCTGCTAATATCAAACATTACACAAAACAACACACAAAATGAGATACTACCAACGATACTAGGGTTCAAAATATATCGGTTTATATAGTTCATAAAATTAAATAAAACTTATTATCTAACACGCTTTTGCAAGGAACTGTTTTTTATCGTTGAGAGTTTTTTGTTAAATTGTCAATAACCACAGCACAGCCACTTGTTATTTTATGACAGCCAGGGCCAACTTCTCAAAACTTCACAGTCACGCAGTACTTTAGCAAAGGGAAAATTAAGGCCCGTTCTAGACTAATTTGTTTGAATCATTTGAATATACCGCGTGGAAATTGAAAATCGGACAATTTGGTGAAGGAATCTTATAAATAGTTAGTTTGTTGTGTGTTATAAGTTAGTAATTGTGTATAAAGTGAGAAAATAAATTCGTTAAGTATTTTATCGTGAGTTTAAATTAGTGGACCCACGGAATCCGTAACAATATTATATTATTTACAGTGGCCCAGTGTTTCGAAAAGCGCCAATATCTAATTTACTGTTTTTGACTTTTACTGCAATATTTTTATAATATATGGAGGCAATATAGGTTTATATATATACAGGGTGATTCAAATATATTTTTCACTACAATTATATTTTTTTAAACAGGAAGAATGTATTTTTAAATTTTGAATCTTGCTTAGTGGATATTCTCTATAATTCCCACTCGAAAACTTACTATACTATAATAAAACTTACTATACTAATATTAAAATACTCTATATTATATGAATATAATATATTCTATTTTTTTCTGTTTTTAATAGTAATAAAAATAGGTTTCGAGGCTTTCAATAATTTTTTTGCAACGTAGTCACAGATGACGCTGTATTTGTACCAGATTTAATATTTACCTTCACCATATTGTCATGATTTGAAAAATGTATTCGTGTAAGCACTGTTTACTTTTGTAGGGTGGAAATATGTCCGTTAAAACATCAACAGCTTTTTTTGCTTTTTGCTAAATAGAAATTTGTATATTGAATTTTTGAAAACTTTTTTCGAATTCCAGGTTGTTTGGGCCACAACTCAATACGTTGGTTGCGGTTACGCATACTACTACGAAGCCGGAAAGTATCCTTACAATAAGTTCTACGTCTGTAATTATGGTCCAGCGTAAGGAAGATATACAGGATGATACGACGAAATGAATACCATTAATTTTGTATTATATTTTAGTGGCAATATTGGAGGCTCATACCCATACAAAACTGGTAGTTCGGGATGTCCAAACCTGTGTTGAAGCGAATTATACTTATATGAATGTGTTTTTTTATTCGTATTATATACATTTTAAGTAAATATATGTATTTTTGTTTAAATATCTATAATTTATTTGAAACTAGTTACTAGCTACTATAACAAATGAATGAAAGCTGCATTTTTTGCCAGCGGGTTCTGGCTAGAGAACAACCAGCTAGCAAACATAGAAAAACATTTTTGTTTATAAGTATTACCACATATTTAATTAAAAGTTGGTCTGTACTAACATGTTAACTATATGCTAATTGGATTAAGTAACAAAAACATAAAAGAAAGTAGTAAACTTTCAAAATAATAATAATTAATACAGTAAAATTTGAAACGACTTGCGCCATCTTCCAAGGGCTAAACTAATCAACCTGCGAACAGATTTCTACTGTAACCTAACTGTAACGGCAGAATTCTGTAATAGAAATAGAGATGATGAGAAAGTCTATCAAGAGATGGCGAATTTAAAGTTTCAGAGCAATTGAAGGGGTGGCTGCAATAATCAGGGGCTTGATTCCACAGCTCTGATTCTTGATCTTGATATTCTTGATTCTGTAAATATATTTCATGTCTAGTGATTCATCTCATCAATCGTACAAATAACATAGGCTAGACAGAAAATTGTTTTGCTACGGAGCTTACAGAATCCCACTGCAACCAGCTCCACTTTTTTGCGAAAATGAGTTTTTTAGTTAGATACCCTTTAAAAATAGGCCGATCGTACCCTGCAATTATCAGGCCACGTTATGGAACAGTACCTATATGGCAACGTTACCGGATCTACCTTGCTTTCAGTTTGCAACAAAAACCGGAAAGTTATTACACTGTCTGGTTTGGCTAGCAAAATTTCTTAAAATGGAGCTGTCTGATTATTGCCACCCCTTCAACTAAGGAATATCTTCTAAAGGTAATATTATATTATATATTAATAATATTCTGAAAAAATTGAAAAAACTCTTGACTGTCCTTTAGACGTGAAATTTCTCTTTATTTTTCTGCTACCACGGTCCGTATCCCCAACAACATCCCGCCGTAGTTTTATTCTATATTTTAAATAGTATTATATTATTCAAAAAATAGAATAGCTGTACTACAAAAAAACTCTATCTGGCAATGACAAACAGCAGTATGTCCACAGCACACAAGGACATATACTTCTGTTTGTCTACTGCCAATTAATGGACATAGAGCACATAGAAAGTCTAAGGTATTTTCACCATTAAATTCGAATGGGATAAAATGTATTTAACACGTCGTTTCTGGCATCATATTGTAACTCTGTGTATGTAGTTTGCAATGCCACATTTGGTTGCAAATTAAAAAAATGGACAAGATACATTTAGTAAGTCTGCTCCTTATTTATTAACTCAATAAAGTTACTATTTTAAGAAATTAAAAAAATGTGAAAATTTAGTTTGTATCACGGATTTACTTATATTATTTTAGAACACGTGACCTACTGTAGATGGCGAATTTTATTGCAGTCTATGAAATTTTTCTTCTTGGATAATCCTGTGACTGTGATCTGTGTTGCTTTTATTTTTATTTAAATAAAATACATTTTGTAAGAATGTAACTGACTTTTGTGCTGTTATATTTTTTGCATTACAGGAATTCTACATAGTCACTTTAGTAAAATTTTCACGCGTTTTTATCTATAAAGATAAGGTAATTACACTAAATAGCAATAATAATGTTGACAGTTTTTAAAAGTTTTTTGTCTAATGTTAAAAAAATATTTACCAAAGTATCTACACAATATAATTGAAGTTGTATTATCTATCTCCCATTATTGTAATTTAGCAAGTGACATATCTACTAATATGGTTTATATAAAAACATATACATTTTCTGTATTAGATAATAAATTTGTTAACAACTGTGTAGTATAGACCATCAAAATTACTATGGACTGAATAAACTAAAAAAGATTAGAACCAAAATAACAGAATAAGTTAAGAATAAAGTTTTGAGTAACCATTTTGAGTAAGTAATCAAGAAATTTTGACGAGTAAGTATATAAATTATGTATTTGTTTTAAAGTCGTTATTATTAGTTGTCGTTTTTTTTACAAAATTAGAAATCAGGAATTAATAAAATTATATCATTAAAATATAAACAAAAGATGTTACGTTTATCTTTAAAAACATATTTTCAATTAACAGATTATTTCAAGTTGAAGATCTTGGCTTTGTAACAATTTGTAATTTGTAACAAAAAAAAACGTTTTTCTTGTGAATGCATTCAATTTTTTTAACTGTGTATTTAATAATTGTATATAAACTCTAATAACTATACAGGGTGGTCCGAACTGTATTTCGGAAACCTCGGCAGCATATTATACAGATAAAAATAACTAAAAAAGTTCGTATAAATGTATGTCCTAAAATGCTTAGTTTCGGAGATACAGGGTGTAGAAGTTTCATTTTTATTTCGCGCGATATATTTCAATAATTTCTGAAGTAACGTCAACATTTGGATGAAAATTGGTGTCTGGAGTTTTTTGACATAAAAATTTTGATTTTGATTTTGATGTCAATATGACTCCTACTTGTAGAGGGCGCCACCTACATATTTTTTAACTGGTTTGAAGAGTGATATCTTTTCGTACGTACATGTATAGAACTACTGAGTAAAAAATCATATATTTACGACATTTTTTACGCAAAAAATGTCTCTTGGTAAAAATCGCTACGAGTAACGGTTCTCGAGATATTTTGAATCAACATTATCAATACCTGTCATCATTGAGTTAAATTAAACATGTTGATGAAATAGTTATTACACTAAAATCATAAATTTGAAATGTTTTTGACCAAAAGTTCAACAGAAACTGTTTTCTCATCATTTTTTTGAAGAAAAATTTATGATTAATTTAAAAAAATTAAAATTTCACAAATTTATCATTTTAGTCAAATAACTATCTACTCAACATTTTTATTTTTTTGTCAGTATAATGACATGGAGTGATTACTTCCATTCTAAATATCTTGAAAACGGTTGCTCGTAGCGATTTTTACCAAGAGACATTTTTTACGTAAAAAATCACGGAAGTGTTAATTTTTCACTCAGTAGTTTTATACAGGTACGGACGAAAAGTTATTACTTATCAAAGCAGTTAAAACATATGTAGGTGGCGCCCCCTACAAATAGGAGTCATATAGACATCAAAATCAAATTTCTCACGCATAAAAACTCCTAGACACCAATTTTCATCCAAATAATGACGTTACTTCAGAAATTATTTGGAAAAAATCGAAATAAAAATAAAACTTCTACACCCTGTATCTCCGAAACTAGGCATTTTCGGACATACATTTATACGAACTTTTTTACTTATTTTTATCTGCAGAATATGCTGCCAAAGTTTCCAGAATACAGTTCGGACCACCCTGTATATCTATCCCACTTTAAATCAGTATTTTTAGTTGCTTTGAAAATGAGCCATATTATGTGGATTTCTATAATTCTGATGGCTGTGTATTTTCAATTAGGTTCAGGAGCTGGAACTATACTTGGTAAACTTCCCTCTAAACATAAAACAATAATTGTTTATAAAATATATTGTTTCTAATTGTAGGATCTGGTGTGTCACAATCTGAACAGAACGCAATTGTAAATATTCACAACAATTTCAGACAACAAATAGCCAGCGGTTCTGTTCCTGGTCAACCAAAAGGAATCAATCTTCGCCGTTTTGTATGAATTTCTAAAATTTATAATTTAATTCGGTAGTTTTATTAAATTCGATTAAGACATAAAAGCCTGCAAAAATATTTTTTTAGTATGAAATTTAGTACTTAAATATACAGGGTGTTTCAAAAAACATCTGCCATCTCGAAGAAAAAGTTTGTGGCGCATATGTTTTTTTTAGAAATAGTCCAGATGATGAACCTATATCCACGGAATATGTTGACACTTCTTAAGCATTAAACTATGTTGCACTTATAGTAACTTTTATCCTCAAAATTTCATTCGAATAGCTACACTGCTTTTTGAAACACCCTGAACATTTACAGCGCAGATATAGGTTGATTCTTGCCTACTTATAATTAATTAAGGACAAAAATATGCTGTCCCAAATTTCTTTCTATAAAATACGTGCTATTTTATTGCTTTTTTTACTTTTTACGATATTTTTTATCAAGGTGATAAAAGTTACTGAATGAAAATGACAGAAGTACCATAATTTTCTAGAGTTATGACAGCAAACTTGCCGAGGAAGCCCAGAAAATATCAAATACCATGGTTTTTCAACATGTTGCTGTAAAAGACAGTATGTATATTTTATTATTTTAATAATTTAATAATCTAGAATATTAGATACTACAAAAGATTTATGTATCATGAAAAGTCGAGATATCTGTTATAGTGTTTTTTTTGTGAACTAAGAGTAGTATGAATGAAGCTATTGCTTCAACTTTTAAGGATATCTATTGTAGTTTAGTAGAAAATACAGAATGAATGAAAACAAAAATCGCATCAGCTATGAAATGAAGATCGCTGTCATTTTATATGTAAAATTATTTAGGGAATATTAATGATCTTCATTTCCAAGCCAACTTGACGCCGTTTTTTAGATCATTGGTATGTATGCTTTATTTTTTTAGGTCGATTTTACGTTGGACAAAATTTATATCTAACTTCATCAACAGCTGCTGGAGGCCCATCAGATTGGAATGCAGCAATAACAGGATGGTTTAGCGAGTATAAGTCTTATAAATATGATAAATGCTGTGCTGGATTTGAAAAGACCGGACATTATACCCAAGTACAATTTTAGTGATATTTGGAAAATAATAAATTACTAATTCACCACAATACACCAAAACACTTTACTTTTGCACTAGACGCGCGTTTCGCTAACCATGTTAGCATTATCAGCAGATAATTAAATCTCAGCACAGATGTTTTAAAAATCTGCTGATGATACATTAATAATCTATATGATATATGTCAGTGCAACAGTAAAGTGTTTTGCTGTATTGTGGTTAATTAGTGTTTTATTTTGCTGTTGTTAGTAATACCAAGGCTTCCAAGCCCCAACTGTAATAGTTATTAATAATTTAATAATTTAGACTGTTAGTTTTTCATCGTTTTTAACTGTTCAAATTTCTGTTAAAGATTCTGATATCTTTGATGAATTTTTTATTTACTCTCTAAGCCTTTGATAAGACTTCCAATTGCTCAAGATCTTTAGGGACCACATTACTGAGCGTTAAATTCATTCTGTAAAAGTCTAGAATGTGTTATTATACAGGGAATAGTTTGAAAACATTTTTGGATTTTTTTTAGTTTTTAGTTAAAAACACAATTTCTTGATAATCTGGCAACAAATTTACCAGAAAGAAAACCCAGAAAAGATGCAGTGGTTCTCAAAAATAATTTTTTTTTAATTTTCAAAGTAAAATAATTCGGTTATTTTCGACTTATTTGAAAAACGGTAAATAAAATCTATATTTTTCTTTTATCAAGGTCTACCAGCCCTGAAAATATTTGCACTTATTTAAGACTCACCCTGTATAGCTTAAATGAGGTTAAGCTCGAACAATACATATTGGTTTAGAGTTAGACAGATCTGGCAATTTTGCACTGTATAACTAATGACTGACTGTTACTGTCCATTTCGTTAGGTAATCCCAGACTAACTTAATCGGAGAAAACTTAACCTGAAGTTAAATTAATTTAAGTTTATCTCAACCTGATTAACTTAATCTAAGATGAACTAATATCATGTTTAGAATGAATCCAATTAACGAATCCGCGCCAACAAGTTATTTTTGGTATTTGCAGGTTGTTTGGGCAGATACCAGGTACGTTGGTTGTGGCTACACATACTACTATGAGGCTGGGACTCAATATCCTTATAAAAAGTTTTATACATGTAACTACGGGCCAGGGTAAGCAATTGAAAAACACTTGTAATACAAAGTGTTGGATATAATTAATTTCGTATAAATTTTAGTGGGAATATTGCCGGCTCCTATCCCTATAAAACTGGCACTTCGGGATGTCCAAATTTATGTCGCTGAAGCCGAAGATTTTCTGACGTGTAATCCGTATTTTTATTTAAAAGAGTTATATTTTAGAATAGACAATTTCAAGCAAAGGGTTTACTATTTTTTTATAATAGGTTTTTTGTCAAACTCAACCAGTTTTGTTAGTTTCAGTCATTTTAAGCCCATTCAATATCGACAAACGACCGAACTCACCTCGAATTTCACTAAATCAAAGAACTGAATAATACACGATGCAAAAACAAACAACTGTCGAGATGAATTGTGGGACATTTTTTGCGCGGGCGTTTTAAATTCTCTGTATTACTGGGACTCAGGATTCGGAAAACTACATGTTACTTTTAAAAACTACATAAACTACATTTCATGTAGTTAATGTAGTTTATGTAGAGGGTGTAGTTTATGTAACCTATGTATATGTAACTTTCAAATGTCAAAGGTTTGAGGTGAGGTTATAATAAGTTGAAGCTTTAAAAACACATAATGTATTTAAGAAAACAGAAGAAATATGGCTTTAAATATAATATTTACATCATATTATCTCTATTACACCTCATACAAAGGAAAATCATTCATAATATCAATACATAGTTTATTAACGTAGTTTTCATGTAGTTAATGAACGGGAAAAGACGTATTTTTTTTAAGAAAAACTACACGTAGTTAATCAGGTAAATTACGTCTTAATTAACTACTTCCGAACCCTGCTGGGACTGCCCTGGGAGCTCATAAATATCTAGATTATCCAGAAGATACCAACAGGATATTTTGTTGCCTTGACGTAATATATATCTATCTGTATGGTTTATTGCATTTTATGTAATATAAAAAGTAGTACATTATTTATTTTTCCTAAATATCTAGACGATATTGTTAGGATATTTTATTATCATGAGCATGTTTGGATATCTCAGCTGGATGTACATTAGATATACGACAGAGATATTCATAGGATATTCTATTCTGAGACAGATTTCAGGATGTCTGGAGGATATCCTATAGATGTCTATATAAGATGATCTTATAATGGGACATTCCGACATTTTACAGTTACAATCTGAAAAAAAAATTATTATTACGTATTTTCTATTTAAAAATTTATATCAAGGATAATAAGTAGTTCTCTGAACAAAATATTCCAATTAAAGTTAAACATTATTTTAATTTTATTAAATCTAACTTTACTATTTCTTAAAACAATTATGAAAACAACATAAATATTTTTAATATAATTATCGCGCACTATATATATTTATTTATTTATTTTTTAATTGTTTTACTCTTTCGGGAAATCCAGTATTTCTCTCAACAGGTTAACTGATCTAGTGAACTGATTAAAATTAATCCCTTTATTGTTCATTAAAAATACGATGAACTTGATACCGAGAACATTTAATTCCATCCGATTGAAAAATCAAAATATTTACTTATTCATTCATATAAAACTAACGAAAAAATTTAGGATGTCATAGTTGAATTCTTCGTTTACTATAGAAAAGATGGCTAACCTACAAGTTGTTATACTTTTAATTGCTGTGTGTTTTAAGTTAGGAGCAGGAGAAGGGACTTTACTTGGTAAGTAGGAATGCTTTATAAGTTGTAGGTCACTTCTTCATATAAAATTAGTATAACTTTTAATACTCATTTCTTAATGTAGTTGTTTATATGTGATAGAAATATATCACTATGGTCCTCATTTGTTTAGTCTACTGTTGCGGTTCAAATGAATACTTGTTTTCAAACTAGCCAGCTTTTTTGCAAACAAACAGCACAACCGACACTACAAAATGACATCTAACCAACAAAATAGCTGGCTAGTTATTATCAATCGTTATACTATCAATAGTAAAAGGAATAATGTTACATGAAGAAACTATTTTTTTATTATTTACAGGCTTTGGAGTATCTGCTGCTGAACAGAAACAAATAGTCGATCTTCATAACTCCGTGAGGAATCAAATAATGGAAGGCACGCTTTCTGGCCAACCAAAGGGTGTTAATCTTCTTCAACTGGTATGAATATACAGGGTGGAATATAAATTATCACTATATGACATCATTGACAAAAAATAAGCATGCTGACTAGATAGTTATTTGCCTGAAATAATAAGAGTTTTTTTAAATTAACCATAAGATTTAGTTAATCAATAGGAACTCTTTTTATTGAACCTTTGGCACAAAAACATTTCAAATTTATGATTTCAGTCTAATAAATATTATCTATTCCTCATGTTCAATTTTTTTCAATGATGATATATATTGCTTATTTCGATTTTTAATATCTCAAGAAAAAAATTTGCTTCAAAAACCTAAAAATAGTTTAATAATTTATTTTAATATTATATTTTAAATAGATATGACTCATACATTTCATATAATTGGAATAAAAATTTACTTATTTCCTATACGTTTTAGAAATATGACAGCAGTCTTGCCGAAGCAGCACAGGAAATAGCCAATACTACTATTTTTAAGCACGCTGCAGTTTCTGATGGTAAGTATTTTTTTTCAACACAAGAAAAACGCACTTTTAGTTTTTTTTGAGATATCAGTAATGATCGTAGATCTCAATTATATCATGTCATTATACCTCATGAAAAAAGTTACATTATAAATTATAAAAACGTTTGATTATTAAATAATAAAATTTTATTTCAATATAAACTTACAAAACTGTCAAAACTCAGGGCATTGCAAGCTGAATATGCCTTTAATGCTGTTGGGGTTGACTGACGAACCATGTGCCGAATCTGTCAATTAAAGGAAGACATGACCAAAGACACTCTATGTCAATACGATAGTTTGACAAAAGGTTCCAAGCAAACATGAGATGTTAGCAAAGGGCTGTATGGAACGTTTAGTCTCCAAGTTATTATCCTTTGAAAAAAGGATACGATTGAAGAATATTATAATCTAGAGATCAGAGGACTACAATACAGAAAATCGCAATAGAATTCGCCCATATTATAGTCCCATAAAATGTAAATTAAGCTAATGATAATTAATTGCAAACGTTTATTACAGATCGCTTTTATGTTGGCCAAAATCTGTTCGCCGCAGCATCCACAGCGCCTGGATCAGGCATAGCAAACTGGACCAGCGCAATAATCTCATCCTGGGTTAGTGAACATAAATCTTACACATACGCAAAATGCTGTGTCAGCGGCACTGGACATTACACTCAAGTAAGAAAATTGACAATCAGTTTTATCATTTTCATCCGTTTTAAATTTGAACATAAAATGGTTCTTGGTTATTTCAAACATTCTTAGTTCAGTTTACTCATTGGCATTACTTGTAGACGTTATCAAATATGTTATATACGTTGTTATCTGACAGTATATCGAGAGGTATCAGAAATAAATGTCATTTATATCATCAGATTCGACTTTGAACATAAATGCTCTAGAATATTTCGAATATTTGAAATAACTTGCAAATCTTATTTTAACTATTAGTATGATATTAAATAGAGTATGAAATGATTTTTTTTTGGAAATTGTAGGTCATTTGGGCAAAAACTCAATATGTTGGTTGCGGTTTTAGCTACTTTAAAACGACAGGAAAATATGCCTATAATTATCTGTATGTATGCAATTATGGACCGGGGTAAGTAAATATATATTTTAGATTAGAATTAAAACTATATATTTTCTATTTATTTTCATAGTGGTAACTCTGTTGGTTCTTATCCTTATGAAACTGAAAGTTGAAGAAGCTCTGATTTGGTGTCTATGAAGTACGTTTCACATTAAGCTAAACAATAATTAAGTTTATAAAAATAAAGTATAAAAAATAAATGTATTTTTTAATAAGTCGTTGTGTTTCTTTTATATTTTGCCATAGATACGTGTCTTGAATAAAAACAAATAGCCATCATCGTCATCATTTTCGTATATTCTTTTCTTTAATATTTTTATTTTATTTAAAGAAAGTATTTTCAGTGTATGTTATTTATTGGCGATTAGTTATTTTAATATAAATTAATAAAGATTATACTGATATATATATATATATACATACAATAGACAAAGTGTAGTTCAAACATGAAAAAAAAAATAACTTAAAACAATATTCAATAAAATTCCCTGTATGAGATTGGTGTGCATAATTTTTCAAGAATGTTTAGTTTCAAAAGAACAATTTAGTTAAATATTTTAGAATCCGTAACTGTTATAAATTTAGAAATGCTGTTTAAAAGTGACTTTATATTATACAGGGTTAGTCTTAAATAAGTGCAAATATTTTCACGGTTGGTAAATATCGATAAAAGAAACATATTTCCTCTTAATCGTTTTTCTAATAATTCCATAATAAACGAGTTATTTTACTTTGAAAATAAAAAAAAATGATTTTTTGTTGAAATTTTGAGAACCACTGGATCACAAACTGGTTCTTGTCTGTATTTTCTTCAATCAAAAAATTATATTTTTTAACTAAAAAAAATTTTTTTTTCAGAAAAGTCCAAACTCTCTTTCGCGAAAAAAACGTTGTAAAGTTTCTGCGGTTGAAATATATTACGCCTAAAAATATTTACACTTATTTAAGACTCATCCTGTATATAATACTAGTGGAAGTGACATCTAGGTTGATCTTACCGAATTTAGTCTTTGGATCGATACTCTACTTTTATAATGATTTAAATTGGATAATATATGGTAGAACATAGGCAGACCATAAAAATAGCGTATGATCGAATAAAAAAGGGCGTCCAGTTGGCATGGAAATGACGATCGATGACATACCCCATACAATTTTCCATATAAATTGACAGCGATATTCGTTTCATAGCCATCGTTGACGCCGTTTTTTTCAATTATACAGTATTACAATAAACAATTTACCTAGTAGTTTTATTACAACTAAATTAATTTCATTTTTGTATTATAAAAAATTTAAGAATTTTTTTCATTTTAAAATTGTTGAAGTATCAATAATTGTCATTTGAACGGTACGTTTCTTTCTTGTAGGCCACTGTAAAAATTTTACTGCTTTTGGTTAGGCAACCCTCTGCTGCTAAATAACTGTCATAGTCTAGAGTTTTGTGCATCGTATTTCTAGAGTCTTCTAATATGGATCTCTGCATTACCAATACTAGCCGATATCTTGTTTATATATTTTTTAAGAAAAAATCTCCCTCTGACCTAAAATCGTCATTTTAGGTCAAAGGTAAATTGTATTTTCTGTCATTTTTTGGATGTCGTCTTGTAAAATTTTTCCTAACTTGTAAGACAGACTTTTTAGTAATAACTTTGAACATTTTCTTTTAATTCAATAAAGATATAACTTTATCGAGTCAAACTACTATTTTTGAAAATAAGTAGGAAAACAACTTAATACATTAATACAAGTACGCATTAGAAATATTTATTTATTTCTAATTGAAATTAAGGACTTTTGGGGAATCCTGAATTTTTTCTCAATAACTGAACTGATGCAATTCACTGATTAAACCTAATCCCTTTATTTTTTATTAAAAATATTATGAAATCAATAGTGAAGAGATTATATATTCTCAGAATTAAGTATTAATTTGATCCAATTTGTACACCAAAATATTTACTTTTTCGTTTATAAAAAGCTTAAGTAAAACTCTAGGAGTTTAGAGTCTAGTTTTAGTTCCTATAGTAAAGATGGCTAACCTACAAGTTGTTATACTTTTAATTGCTGTGTATTTTAAGTTAGGTGCAGGAAAAGGGACGATACTTGGTAAGTAGTAAACCCAAATTTTCAAAAATTATATAATTCAAACAAGAGTTTAAATGCCTTATTGTAAAATAAAAAAACATTTGTTAATTTTTTTAATGGTTTAAGATATATTTTTTGTGTGCAAGTCGTCTGTAGACCATCACCCAAATATGTTTTAGCGTAATGAAAGTATCTACATATGCGCGCCCTTTCTATCAGCTTTCATAAATACTTTGTTCTTTATTTACAGATTTTGGAGTATCTGTGGCCCAACAGAAAGAAATAGTTAATGTACATAACGCTGTCAGGGAACAATTAAAGAATGGCACATTTCCTGGACAACCAAAGGGTATTAATTTCCTTAAAATGGTATGAACAATAATTTACATTTCGAAACAATAAAAGTTAAATAATCACAATATTATTTAAAACAAACGAAATATATTTTTTAGTTTATTTTTAATTTAGAAATTATTATAAGTAGATACGTCATATTTTTACATTTCTAAACCAATGATCTTTTTTGTGTTTTAGCAATATGATAGCCGTCTTGCTGAAGCAGCACAGGAAATAGCCAATACTACCGTCTTTGCACATGTCACAGTGCCTGACGGTAAGTTATTTAGAACTCGGTATTCTATTGACGGTATAATTATTTAGAGCCACGGTTGGAAGACAGCAACAGTTTGATATATGTATTGTGTAAATCCAACAAAGCACAGTCTTATTTTACTGAACATAGCTAATAATTTGTTTTATGTTATAATGATGGAACATAAGTGAAATTAGTTATTTTCATATATAATTTTAAATCTTGTATTACGTATACCTATCCGTTTATAAAAATATGATATGAATTATTACAGATCGTTTCTATGTTGGACAAAATTTGTTCCTCCTGTATTCGACAGGGGCTGGAACAGGCATAGGAAATTGGACCCAAGCAATATTATCCTGGGTTAGCGAACATAAAACTTACACATATGGAAAATGCTGTAGCGGTGGTAGTTTACATTACACTCAAGTAAGGATATTATATCAATCTACATCATTATTTTCATCGTTTCTAAATGAAGATTCGGTGTTTGAAAGGATAGCTAGTTTTTTTAGCTGGTAACTAAGTAGAGCTTGAAAGGAAATTTATTTTTTTTAAACTGTAGGTGGTTTGGGCAACTACACAATATATTGGTTGTGGTTTTACCTACTTCAAAACGTCGGAAAAATTTGCCTTTAATTACTATTATGTATGCAATTATGGACCAGGGTATGTAAACCAGGGCCCGAATTCTGTAACTTTGACATAAAAACGTTACGCTTTCAAAGCGGTGAGCGAAAGTATGCGATAAGCGGAACGTCAAGCGGTCGATTTTGGTATTCTCGTTGCTGTGCGAATCGTTTTCTGGATACGCGTTGAGCACATATTGACAGCATCGTAATTTTCTAGGTATCTAATAGTCAAATGTGACTAAAACAATGAAAAATGTCAATGTTACGTGAATTTTATAACCTATTGTTGAGTTATGTCAACCTATTTTTCTATGGATATGTCATTATTCTTATTATACGAGGGAAATGTTGAAGACGCTTCTCAGCATTTTCGATGTTTTGAACAATATTTATAGCTACCAACTTGTAATTTGTCGATTACTTATTTATGAATTTATAGAACAAGTAGGTAGTAGTTTTCACTAAAGAGCAAGATAACGCACGAAATCACAATTTTTTCGATTTTCACTGACAGCATACTGACAGTTCGACAAGCAAAACGATCCTTTAAGGCAACCGTTTTCAAAGCGCTTAGCGCAATCAGTAGAGACGCTAAGCGCGTCAGACAAGAATTCCCAAATCGTTAGTTAAGTGCGCGCTCAGCAAAAATTAACGTCATATACGCTGAGCGTCTAAAAGCGCTTAGCGTTTTCTAAGTTACAGAATTCGGGCCCTGTGCTTCAGATATTCTATCAAAACTATATTATATTTCCTATTTATTTTTCTAGTGGTAACATGGTTGGTTCCTATCCTTATGAAACTGAAAGTTGAAGAAGCCTTCATAATATATCGTATCTATGAAATACATTTACATAATATTGTTCTTATATTTTGTAACTAAATACAGTTATTATTACTTAAAAATTACACACACTATTATTACATTACTCTAAAAGAAAAGTGTAAAAATGCCTATTTTTAAATGCGATTTTTTTTATTCTGTACATCTTTGATGTGTGGCTTTTTGTACAAATAGCCACACATTGTTGTTTAAATTATTAAAACAAGTTAGATTTTATTGAAATATGTTTACAAAATAATAATAATTAAGTTGATTAAAGGGGCGGGGGACACAACAAAGACAAAAATGTCCATTAATGACAATTGTATATGTCAAGAGTGTTTAGCATATAAATAACAATTTAGTTAAATATACAGGGTGAGCCTTAAATAGGTGCAAATATGTTTACGAATTGTAGATCTCGATAAATGAAACAGATTTTCTCTTTCCGTTTTCCAAATAAGTCCAAAATAACCGGGATATTTTACTTCTAAAAATTCGCTTACATTTTGAGAACTGCTGGATCTATTCTGAGATTTCTTTCTTGTAAATTTAATCTGCTACTTATGTTGCCATATTATCAGGAAGTTATGTTTTTTAACTAAAAACTAAAAAGAAATCCAAAAAATTCAAATGTTATTTTTTTTGCGAAAAAAACCTCATGATCGTGTTGCTGGGGTCGAAATATATAACTCTTAAAAATATTTGCACTTATTTAAGACCGAACCTGTAATTAAATATATGTTATTATTAACAGTTGGGTGTCATTTCTTCTTTCAATTTATTGGCTACATTTTGCAGGATTTCCATGCAAGAGCTGTTAATTTGTGATGTGATTAACTGCTTTTCAAAAATATCCCTTAACGTTATTATAATACTACTAGAAGTGACATCTAGATTGAGCTTACCGAATTTAGCAGTGGGATCGATAATCTCTTTTATAATGATTTTTATACTAAAGTAACTTTCATTCTGAAATATATGTGTAGGTAATCCATAATATACATTTTCATAATTTTTCAATAGATGTCCCCATTCTTATAGTTTTCCTTCTTTGGAAATATTTTAAAATTGATATAGGTATAATTTTAATTACAAGTTAAAAAAAAATGATGTCTGTATCTAATATTCCACTATCAAAAAATACCCCACTACTACTTACTTAACGTGCATTATCTGAGTGAAGCTTGGCAGATCGAAGATATTTTTTTTTTTGATCTGAGATTTTTTTTTGATCTTACAACACTTTTGTTATTTTTTAGCAATTAAATAGTGATGAACAGATGTATGACCAAAACCAAGACTCAAGGCTTGGTCTTAGAAGAATGTACTCTTATCTTAGTCTCGCTACAACACTCTTGCTAGTCTTAAAAGTCTGGTTGGTTTTGGTCTTGGTCTTTCAGATCAAACTCTAGTTTTGGTCTTGGTCTTGATTCTTGTACAAGACCAGAACCAAAACCGCAAGACTAGGAGCAGTATCGCTCGTTACTGCAAATAAGATATTTTTGTGGAAATTTATTTTATTATATATATTTATTTTATATCCTATTACATAAAGAAAAATAATTACAAACCACTTAAGTTTTAATCATAATTTATTTATAAAAATATATAACTAGAACAATTACATTTTTCCTTAAATCTATAATACTATAAATTTAGAAACTAGAGACATATAGTGGCATTCTACGAATGCAAATAAAATTACATATCAAACTATATTCGAACATGTAATATTAATTTAACTAACTAACAATAAACTTAAATGTAGGTATAAAAATCTAAAGACAAAATTAAAGCTTAATACATTTTTATTGGCAAATATCTATCAATCAGGCATTATCATCAAAAAGTTTGAAATAAATGGTATCAATGTTTTAATGTTTTCAGCATAAAAAATAATGTTGAACTTTCGATATATGAAAAACTGGCATTACTCTATGGCTATAAAAAAGTAAGAAAAAAATAACAGACCTAAAAAAATTAGTGACGATCTGTTTCAAAAATCAAAATATATAATAGAAGTTTTTTCATTTTATTGAAAATTGGCCATTGTGAAATACCATACGATCTAGAAAAAAAAACGTTGTAAAAAAGGCTGGTGAGTCAAAATATATGATAATTTTGGCGAGGTTAAGCCCTAGAGGTTATTTACTTGATTCTTCCCTTTTGAAAATTATTTTAAATTGTAGCTTTAATTAGTCCTCTAATGATTCCATTACTCACAATTTCTAAGAATCACGTGTGACTATAATACTCCGTGTCGAATGAGGTGAATAATGCTGGGACTCCATTAGGCCACACGCCACGCGACGCCACGATATGTGTTGCGACGTGGGAAAGAGTGTACACAATAGATCTGGGACAGACGACACACGTGTGATAGCGTGTGGTGGCGTGGGATGGCGTGGGATGGCGTGTTGCTTAGTGTGTACGCAATACATGTAATTAAATGGAAAAACATAGGCACAGATCTTCATGACGTGGCGTGGCGTGGCGTGTGGCTTAATGGGGTCCCGGGTTAACCCTGTATATTTTTTTAATTTTAATTCGATAAAAAAACAGTCCCATGTCCAAACTTTTTGGTGATAATGTATGTGAAATTTCTTCTCTATGGTTTCTGATTTTTTGCTTTGCCTCAATTGCTAGATAAACTAGACGTATAATTTAATTACCATATATATCCGATGCACTTGCACCGAAAGCCACTAACAGTTAAGTGGCTGGCCCCCGTTGAAAACTCCAATTTTCCTCTCAGTTAATTAAACTTGCCTAGATACGAAATCAGTTTACGCTACAATTTAATCACAACACATTAAATTCATTTTAGGTACAATCAAGTAATAATCGCTTGGGTTAATTAATGTTTATTCTAATGCGAAACTCGATCCAGTATAAAATTTGATATGCCGAAGTAGTAATTGGCTGGTTTTGCTGAAACAATAAATTCGAATTAAAATAAATAAGCGATTTTCAAAACGTATGCGCCGGTATTAAATAATTTAAATTCGGCGGATATAATAGGGCGTTATTTCAGGGAAGAGTAGACTTGGTTATAAAAATACAGCTCTAGGTAATTGCTTTTGTGTTATTGATTATAATATTTTTCATAATATGTTTATGAATATTTTGAAAATAGTATATTGTTTTATTAGGAGTAAAAATGACACTTCTTGTGGCGAGGCTGTACGTTTGATCGACTGTACGTTGACGAGGCTGTACCAGGGGCGTAGATAGGTGTATGCTATGGGGGTGGTACTATGATTAAGTCGCAAAAAAAATCACCGTCGGAATTTTTTTGTCGAATTAAAACGACGGCGATTTTTTTGTCTTCAAAAAGATATAAAAACATAACACAAAAATTAAAATATAGATTTGTAAATAACATACACAAAAATGAAACAACGACGTTAGTTAATTTTCTATAAACTATAAAAAAAAATCTAAACTATCAAAAAATATATAAAACTATAAATAAAACTACAAAACAAAATCAAGTTTTCTAGTACGCTGTTTGGAAAACCTATCAATAACAGCATCAACCTTTATTTCAATATCTTTATGGATATTGATTAGAGTTAACCCCACTAATCTGTCCTGGCCAATAAGAACACTTTGTGTGCTTTTAATTAGGTCGAACATATTATAAACGATAAATCAACATAATTAAAAGCATACAAAGTGTTCTTATATGTCGGATATTAATTAAAAAAAATCCTTTCATAGTCAATGACTATTTCAATTCTCGTATCTCGTCAAGCGTCAGGGGGGGGTACTGTCCCCCAGTACCCCCCCCCCTTATCTACGCCCTTGGGCTGTACGTCATACCGCCGCGGCACAAAAAGTAATTTTTACTCCGAATAGAACATAGAACATGCAATTTTTTTTTGAAACGTTCCAAATAATATAAAAATATTTAAAAGTCATAATATCTTGTATGTAATTATACAGGGTGATCCAAACTGTATTCCGGAAACTTCGGCAGCATATTCTGCAGATAAAAATAAGTTAAAAAGTTCGTGTAAATGTATGTTATAAATTGCTTAGTTTCGGAGATACAGGATGTAGAAGTTTCATTTTAATTTTGATTTTTTCCCAGTAATTTCTGAAGTAACGTGAATATTTGGATGAAAATTGGTGTCTGGGAGTTTTTTGACATGAGAAATTTTATTTTGATGTCAATATCACTCCTATTTGTAGGGGGCGCCACCTACATATGTCTTAACTGTTTTGAAGAGTAATAACTTTTCGTCGGTACCTGTATAAAATTACTGAGTGAAAAAACATACATTTCCGTGACTTTTTACGTAAAAAATGTCTCTTGGTAAAAATCGCTACGAGCAACCGTTCTCAAGATATTTAGAATGGAAATAGTCAATACATATCATTATTGACAACAAATAAACACACTGAGCAGATATTTATTCGATTCAAATAATAAATTTGGGAATTTTTTATTTTTTGAATTAATCATAAATTTTTCTGCGAAAAAATGATGATAAAACAGTTTCTATTGACCTTTTGGCACAAAAATATTTCAAATTTATGATTTTCGTCTAATAACTATTTAGTCAACATGTTTAATATATGTCAATGATGATAGGTATTGATGATTTCGATTCCAAATATCTGGAGAACCATTACTCGTAAAGATTTTTTACTAAGATACCTTTCGTAAATGTATATTTTTTCACTAAGTAGTTTTGTACAGGTACAGACGAAAAGTTATTAGTTTTCAAACCAGTTAAAAAATATGTAGGTGGCGCCCTCTACAAGTAGGAGTCATATTGAACTTCCAGACCCCAATTTTCATCCAAATATTGACGTTACTTCATAAATTTTGCGAAAAAATCGAAATAAAAATGAAACTTCTACACCCTATATCTCCAAAACTAAGCATTTTACAACATACATTTTAAACGCGCATTTAAATGCCTTGCTATCGTTTATATTAAACGCTGAAGTAAAGATGAGACTAAAATGACAGAAATTTGACATAGAAATTTATCTTTTTTATTAGTAGATCTGAAATAAAAAAATCTAAACTAATAAAGAACAGCTACAGACAATTCGAATCAAAATACAGTAAAATTACACCGCAGCAAAACATTTATAAACTGAAAGTATAAAACAATATTGTAAAAAAAAAGTTACTCTTAAAGAATGAAACAAAAAAAAATACAAATATACCAATTAATGAACTAAATATTTCTCAAAATCTATTGAAAGAGCAAAAATCTCAACAGTTCTAGAAGTCCCGCCTTTCAAATATGATAGTGTTAATTTTAAAGCAATGTTCATTTTTAGAACATTATTTATCTCAGTAACTACAGTTTCTTTACATTTTTTTTTATTTCTGAGTTGTGACTAAAATTTAAAAATGTACATGTAATATTTACCGTTACCTTTGTCTCATTATTAGCCCTGTGTGTTTCTCAAATTTACTCCTCAAAAAAACAGTTTCTCATACCAAAAGAATTTAATTTAAATGAATATGGGCTTTCTAGACCATAACCTATCTATAAACGCACGCGACAACAGGATTCGAACGCTTACTACTTCATCTTCATACTTTCAAAAACTTTAAACCTCAACACAAGAAAATGGATTTGTAATTTAAGTTTTGCCATGATTCACCCAAACCACAAACATTAAACAAATTATAGGGATCATTTGTTAACAATTATTGTTAAATATTCCCCAAGCAGCATTTGGACGTCGGGACAACGTTGTGTCATGCGACCAAACGTCGGGGCGCAACGTCGGCACAACCTCGTGCCAACCCTAGTCTGCACTAGTTTGGAGAATAATTTTTGGGTCGAAACGACGTTGGATACCGACGTTGGCTAGAAGCCTAATTTAGTACAAACTGCAACGTTGTTTAAAATCCTAATTCACAGAAATACAAAACTAATATGGCGCCTAAGTCGCGTTTTTATCCTAAATTGGGATAATTATAGTAAAAATATTATTTTTATGATTTAGTTAGAGACATATGTCAGATGGCAGTGAAGGAAAACAAAACAAAAGTATTTAAGTGTGGAGGATGTTTGAAGATCATAATTATTGAAACACTTTAACCGACTCTGTAACTCGTTACCCAAGGCAAAAAGTTAAACGCAAACAACTTTATTGATAAATGTATTGTTTCTACTTTGAAAAATACTAATGGGCCTTAAAATTAAAGAAGTTTTAAAAATTTTCTTGAATTTTTTTTTTTAGTAAAATGAGAATAATTTATTCGCAGTCGAAAAAATTGTTTCCGCGTGTTTTTAGGGTCAAATATTTCAAGTTAATGTATTCAAAAAGCAGGAATTGCTATTTTAGGAACGAAACATTTTCTTATTTAACAACATGGCGGCTTTCACTTTGTTGTTTTGGAGATTAAGATGGAGTAGTTCGAGCAGTCGCATACTGGACTAATAAAGTCGCAGTTCGGCCTTAACAGGTAGTATACTAGTCACAAGATTGCCTAATTTAGTCATCCTAGAGTCTAGCTTGTGCCGCCCTCTATAATATAAATAAACGAGGGAGTGGATAAACTATCGGTAATATATGTCGATGTATATTTAAATTTAGTTTTATATGTACCTTTCTTATGTCCCATTTTAATTAAGTCTTTTTTTTTATAAAAACAAAAACAGCACTGAACTGTCTGACTGAACAGAACAATGAAGTGAAAATTTAAGATTTAAGGTTATGGTTCAATACAGTTGCAAAAAGGTAGTGACTCGACGTCCTACCAACGTAAGAATAAAGAAATCTAAACAACGTTGGAATTAGTAAAACAGACGACGTTTGCATAACGTTGGAATAGGTCCTGAAACTGACGTCGGAAAAACTCTATATTGTCCAACGTTGTAACTACGTTGTCCGAATCACCTAAAGATCACTTAAGCAAAAAAGGTTACAAGACAACGTTTATTCGACGTCGCAGAAGCTTCTACTTTGCTGTAGTACTAGTCCAACGTCGGCACAACGTTATAAAAACGTTTAAATTGATTTTAATACCCAAGGTAGGGAGCTAACTATTTTTTGTAACTAATCCAACGTTGTGTTTAGTAAACATGTGGTCGCAAGTCGTGAAAATGCTACTTGGGTCCTTACAAGAAAACTGACTGAGTATAAGTTTTTAGTAGTTTTATTTGAATATCTCATTTTTTGCCTAAATATGGGCGTGTCTCCATTTTTACTCCACTTGACCTTATGGAATTGAATGTATAGCTCCTAATTTCTATATTTGTTAATAGCAGAACAAAGTAATGTAAAGATGCAATTAACAAATAACCGAATACCAGAAAAATAGAATCTCGTGATAGGAAAACATAATTTGTAGACAAAATAAGAAATTTGTTTTTTAAGCAATATAAAGATAAGAAAATATATACATTTGTTATAGCATTTTTAATAATATTCAAAACTAAAAATGCTCTGCGATCGATAGTGGCTGGTTCAAAAATAACGAACAGAATAGAGAAGCAAAAATGTTTAATGCTAAATATCATGCGAGTGGGAGCACTCTTATATTTCTCAATACCTAGATCGTTAAAATAATATTGGAATTTGAGGTAGTACAAGTATTTTTTAAAAAATACATTTATTTAGCTCAATTTTATTAAACCCTTGATCTAAACAAGACACATATAATAAACATACTTACCAGAAACAAGTCAGAATAACCAAGTTAAGCAATAAAGCGTCTCAATAGACTTTTTCTCAAGACTACCATTGTTCTTCTACTAAAGATGCATTATTTATTTAAAAAAAATAATTTACATAAAACTTCTTTTGACTTTGTTTAATTAGTAAAGTTAATATCTTAAGAATATACAGGGTTGTTCACCACATACGACACGGAGTATTGTAGCTAAACGATGAAATTTTTACAAATTGTAAGTTTGGGGTTCGTTGAAGAACTATTAGAGCTACAATTT